TTGTCATATTTTCACACTCTATTTTCTTATTTTGATGCAAATCTATACAATTTGAAACGTTTTTGGAAAGCACTTGGACTTTACTTCAATAATCTGCAAGAAATCTTACTATTTTTTACGAAATCTAGTTATTTAGAAAAAAATGTTAAAAAACTAAAACCCTGCAAAATGCGACTAATTATACATTTAAAAATAAGCCCTTGACCCAGCAAATTCAAATCCGTGAACATTTCTCCTAACTATTCAAAGGACCATGTGTTAGTCAGCAAAGACAACAAATTTGTGCGTTAAAAGATAAATTAAAATGTCAAAAATCGCCCGCATTGGATGGTTTGAAAATAGATAAAAATTAACCTTGAAAAAATACACAAAAAATATAAGAAAAATATAGATCTAAAAACGAGGGAGGGGTTGAAGGGCCACCACGAGCCTCCTGATGAATAATCTCCAAGCTCCGCGAAACCGTCTCCACGCCTCTCCCTATGTCTCCAAGCTTCCATTATTCTGTCTGCACGCCCTGTATTTTTGTCTCAACGCGATTAAATAGTTTTTTATATTACAAAAACAATTTGAATTAAAAGGTTAGTTTTATTTGAGATTAATACATTAATTTTTGTTTTCTGAATTAAACAATTCCTTTTCTAGTTTTATATAAAGATAGACAAATTTTCATATTATTCCTCATGTGTATCATGTACGCATCAAGCAATATGAGCAACACTTCACAAAACATAATGGTTTTTGTGAAATATTTGAATTTATGCTTTCATCATATGCTTTGCGTAAACTTTTCACAAGAAAACAAATTAAGATTAATCGAATCATTTAATATTTGAAATTTGTGGCTTAAACGATTCTTAAACTATTGTGGATTCTACTATGAAAAGATATATTTTGATTTTTGATTGGTTAAGCCCTAGAAACTAAATAAAAAAAATAAAAATAACAAGTAAAGAGATCAAAATGCGGGGCGCGGAGACAGAATGCTTGGAGACGTTGCTAGAGGCACCGAATTGATTTCGTGGGGCTTGGAGGTCATTTTGCTGATCAGTAGGCTAATTTAACAAAGAAATGGGGGTTCCTGTGATTAAACATTGGACCAACAAATTAAATTAAAAATCAAGATTGAAAATAGATAATTTTATCCCTTGCAAGTTTCTCTGCATTCAGTTGCCATAAACTGGATTTGAGAAAACGAAACTAAAATAATCTATATAGGGACAAAAGTTAATTAATTTATAAACATTAGTTGAACTTTCGTACAGTGCTAAGCGATAATATCAATACAATGAAGACGACTTTTCATTAAAGTTTGAATTGCTAATAACATTTTTTGAATTTCACAAGTAATCAAAGAGAAGCTTTTTTTGTTTTCTATGTTTAAGTGTATCAATGCTGTTGAACAGCTTGATTAAAATAAAAATTGAAATCAAAAGTCGTCTTCATTGTTTTGATAAAATCGCCTAACCACTGTAGATTAAGATGATCCACTTATCTCAAACTTGATTTTGGACACAAGATCGAAGTGGTTGATCTTAGTATACATCAACGAGGTTGTGTGTATAGAGTGATGATGAACGCTAAACCTTTACTAATTGTATAGGCCATGAACTATACCGAGAGCGTACTGCATATTTGTTTATATTATATCATTATTAGTAAACAGTTGCAAGTGTACAGTACAGCTAATTGAGCACACAGAGCCCAAAACTTAAGACAGGGTTTCGTTATGAAAACTAGTTTTAAACCCCGGGTTTCACGAATGGGGTTAGACATTTTGTGAATGTCAATATTTTTGTAATGAAATATTCTTTTTTAAGTTTGTTTATATTCTCCATTTCTCTTATTTCAAAATTTACACAAATGTGAATACTCCAAAAAGGAAACTCGGGAGTTTCGTTCAACGATACTCTTTTAAATTTCGGGCTCAGGGATGAAATTATCATCCCCCCTGGTATACATATACGTAGTTTAACTGCTTCCTCAAATTTTATAACATTTTGTCCCAGATAAGTGATCTGATAACTGATAAGGGAACATTCAATCTCTACAAGTCAATCCTTATATCTTTGCAACCTTTATGGTGACATTTAAATTTATAGATTCATATGTTGAAGTAACTAAGGTCTGCGACATAAGGTTGTACAGATTTAAAAATTAGAAAATCTCAATTCTGAATTATCATAAATAAAAAAATAAAAAATTAACAAACTAAAATTAATATTGTTTTAAAATGAAGTAAAAATGTGAAGGAATTAATTAATTTATTTTGTTTAATAAAGTTATTTGGTTTAATAAAGTTGAACAGAAATTTCCCGGATTTTTCTTTGAAGAGAATAAATTCCAAAGTTCAAAATTTGAAAAGTTTTGATTGAACTTTATTCTACTGATGTAAACTCTGCAGTTTATAAATAAACATTGGAAATCATCAAAAACTCAAAATTTAACCCTATTCCTGCTGGGGGGGGGGGGGTCAATTTGACCCCCCCTTGTAGTTTTTTTACATAACTCAAAAAGTATTGGTCTGAGGCTATTGAAATTTTCTGACTTTTCTTACATACCCAAAGCCCTCCCTTTAGGCCTAAAACCGGGCTTTAATACTAACTGCCTGAGTCCTCAGGCACACTGCCTGAATGACTGCTTTTGCCTGTAACAAACTAAATCTTTGTTTTGACCCACTTTCACTTGTCAAATTTTGATAAAATTTAGCTTTTTGGAAAGCCTATGACATGAGGAAACGGATTGCACAAGTTTTGCGAAAAAAATTGCAAATTTTTTGCAAACAACCTGTCAAAGGAAATTTGCACATTTTTATTTTTTCTTGATTAAAAATCAGGTTATTTAAAATTTTGCAAAATTTTTTGCATATTTGAAATGGCATGGTCAAGGGCTTTTCAAAAATGAATAATTTTTCATTTTTTGGACAAATTTTTTTTGCAAATATTTTTATTATATAACTGGATTTTGCGATAAAAAATTCAATTTTTGCAAATTTTCAAATTGTTTTTGCAGATTCTAAAAGTAGAGCATAAGAGCTTTCTAATGATGTATCATTTGTCATATTTGGACATTAAACATGGGATTTAGAGGGGGGGGGGGGCAAATTGACCCCCCCCCCAGCATATCCTGGTTTTCAAGTACCCCAGCAGGGATAGGGTTAAAAGTTTATAAAGAGAGTGCATGCAATAATTTTGTTTAGTCGGTGTATCTTGATTGGGTGTTTTTTTCTCTGTATCCAATAAACGTCAAAATTTGGCTGAACCGATTAAGCTCAATTTGGCCAAATTTTGTGTGAAACCTCACATGACCCCAGGGGAAGTTTACAGATGCTCAAAATTTAAAAAATTTGTGTGCCGAAAGTTTTATAAAATTTTAAAAATGCGCAAAAATACTATTAAATCCACAAACTTTTTTGCTAGTGTTTGATATTGTACAAAGAGAAGATTCTCACTGAAAAAGCCACAAATAAAAGTTAAAATATAAGATTAACACGAAGCGACCTAGACGCCTAGTTTAGATTGTTGATAATACAAAATTTTGTGTTATACTAGATCAAAGCAAAGTAAAAATGCTGCTAATGGTTCACCTTATTTGACGGTTATACTAAAAAACAAGAAAAGAAACGTAAACGTAATGATTATAGAAAAGTAAGTTAAACCAAAATTTCTTCATAAATTAAAAATTTTTTAAGTCCTGAAAAGGTTTCATGAAAGAATTTGAAATGCTTGGAAAAGAGGCAGCCTTGTCAAAAGTAAAAATCCAATGGGACCGAAAAACAAATTTTCAATATCTTTGAAACCTGATGGTTTAAACCTTCGTCATCTTAAACTTTGACAGCAGAATTAATAGTTCAAAATAGCAAAGGCCTAAGGGCCACGCCAACAGGTGGCAAAGACGTAATGATGAGACTTGAGTTTGCAGAAAGTAATTGGTTCATAAATTTTATCAATAAAAGTAAAATTAAACATAAATATTAAAAAACTCACATCTAAAATAAATGTCGGCATTAAATGAAGAATTTTCTGTATTCGGAAACTTAGCATCAAAATAAAAAAGGGACAGTTATTAAGATTGGTCCTGAGCTCTGGCGCGATTGATTATTTCCATATATAAAGATAGATTGCGCATAAGACGACATTTTTCATCTTGAAAGATATAAATGTACAGAGATGTTTTAAAGATATTCCTATTATATAGATTAACTAGGTCGGTTGTGAACATTGGCTGTTCTTATGTCATTGAGTACTTGTGGTGACATGAGTTCTGTAGAGAGAAATTTAAGTTAGTTTAGTCCGTCTCATGTCCTTCTTCAGTTCTCATCAATATGATATATTGCTCAGTGAAATATTGATGTTCAAATATTTCCATTCCCGGAGTTATTTTACACTCTAATATGAAATCCATTAAAACACCAAACCACCCCGCTTATCATTGAAGTATACTTTGACCCCTAGAAGTATGAGTTCGCGGACTGTACAATTCTTGGTGATTTTGCGTACATAAGCTATCTATATTTATTTATTTATCTATGATTATTTCTTACCTCTTAAGGGATCTCGGTTTAAACCTCTCTTGGCCAGGACCAAGGCTTCGGCCTAAAATAATCAAATATTTTGGTATATTATTTCTTGAAAAATTCTCCAACTGAGAAAATTTTAGAATTTCGTTTTCCGGAGTTTGTATTTTTGCAGTTTATATTTAAGGAGTTTGCATTTCCTCAATTTTATTTCCGTAGTTTCTATTTTAAGAGTTTGTATTTTTGCAGTTTGTACTAAAGGAATTTGCATTTTCACAGTTTCTATTTCAGGAGTTTTTTATTTCAGGAGTTTATATTTCAGGAGTTTTTTTATTTCAGGAGTTTATATTTCAGGAGTTTGTATTTCAGAAGTTGGTATTTTAAGAGTTTGTATTTTTGGAGTTTTTATTTCAGGATTTTTGTATTTTAAGAATTTGTATTTTTGGAGCTTGTATTCCTCAGTTTGTTTTTCAGGAGTTTGTATTACAGGAGTTTGTATTACAGGAATTTATATTACAGGAGTTTGTATTACAGGAGTTTGTATTCCACGATTTTGCATTTCAGAAGTTTATATTAAAGGAGTTTGTATTTCAGGAGTTTAAATTTCAGTAAAATTAGTATTTTTTTACTTTTTTATAGCTACGTGATTTTTTACGATTTTACCTCCGAATACTGTCCTACGCAGCCACCATTTTCCGCAAAATGTTTGCACAGTTTAGGATGAGCTGCAGACAAACAAGAACTTTTAAATATTGAATAAAATTTGGAATTTAGATTTGATACTTTATATTGTCTCGAAATTATCCAAAAAATGAATTTAGCAAAATATTTCTTTTCATTTACTAATTATTATTTTGGTCATAAACTACAATACATAGTAATTAAGTGATGACTTCTATGTCGTATGTGAACATGCGGGATTCTTTCGTAAATATAATTTTGTAGCATCACAGTTAAAATATTAAGACAGAAAACAACTAGTGTCTGGATTTCCAAAATGTGGTACAACATTTTTTTACCCTTAAAATTAACGAAGGTATTAGGAAATTTGTTCAAATTCCAGTTAATTAAAAATTAACTAAACTGCAGTTCAAATTGTTTATAGTATCTCCTTCAATTTAAAGTTACAAAGAAGGTAGACCACATTTTGGAAAGTTCATTTGACTTTCAATCTTTTTTTGGATGTAATTTATGTAATTTACCAATTATCAGAAATCTAAGACGTTATTCAAGTCGTCTCTAAATTCTCATGTTTATTTGGACACCCTGTATAAAAATTAATTTCGTAATAAGAATTATGATTTAACCGAAAACATATCACAAACATTTTGTTCAAAAATACAAACATAATTATAAATATAATAATATTTTGTGAGACATCTCGAATGTCCTGTTAATAATTTCAAACAAAATGTAATTTTTTCTACAGTTGCCGGTATTTATACCAATACAATGAAGACGACTTTTCTTTTAAGTTTTGATTTCTAACAAGCTTTCTCGAAATTAAAAGTTTTAAGTAAACAAAGAAAAGCTGTTAATTTGCTGACTCTCTCTCTGTCCATATTTATATGTACGTCCTACGTATAATACATGCTAGTTGAAAGTTTTGTAGATGTAATAATTGAAATCGAAAGTCGTCTTCATTGTACTAAAATATACGACGATGGCTGTATGTTTTTTAATGAAAAATGTTCGTTCCTTTGTCGGCGCAATCTGACTCTGGGATTTTATCAAAGGATTCACCAGGATATTTTTTCCTAAAAAAGAAGGTGGAAATTATTCCAAATCTTATTTAGCACTGCAAGGTAGAAAGACAAAGGGATAAGTTCAAAGTTTTGATTTAAAAAAAGAAATGAAACGAATTGTGGAATAGGTAGGAGACCTTGAGATAATATTTGGTGTTCTGTTTATTTTGTTATAAAGGAAACAGTTTTATCGGTTTTACCAAGGATTTAATGCAAGGAAAGTTATTTCAGAAGTGTAGGCATGTTTTTTTACTGCATGCAGTGTACTGTCACTGGGCGGTAATGTAAACACAAGACGGATGTCGAAGCCTGAAATGGGATCCATCTTTCACATAAATATCAATGAAATATTCTGGTCATCTAGGAAACTATTATGTAAATTATCAAAATTATCAAAAATCAATGCTTTTAACCTCCTCGGATACTAAACGAACACTGAGGCATCTATTCTTGTTTACAAATTCCGCCGAGAACTGGTTTCAATATGTAGTATGTACGCAGAGTATACGCAACTGCAGTTAACTTTCCTTGCGTTGCATTCTTGGATTTTACTAAAAAATCCACTTATTCAGTAAAATGTGTCTGTACACAAACAGTGCACACTACACACATGCTAATGTCTCATGTTCAATGAACTGTTGAAAATTAAACCTAAAGCTTAAAAGTTATTTTCCTGCTTTATGGGTCTCATTGTTGTGTTTACATAGGGACGCTATAGACTAGAATCTAGAATAGATATCTTAGTTCTTTTATCCTTGGTAACATTAATCTAGAATCTAGAATACCTTAGTTCTTTTATCCTTGGTAACAATAATCTAGAATCTAGAATAGATACCTTAGTTCTTTTATCCTTGGTAACATTAATCTGAAATCTAGAATAGATACCTTAGCTCTTTTATCCTTGGTAACATTAATCTAGAATCTAGAATAGATACCTTAGTTCTTTTATCCTTGGTAACACAAATCTGAAATCTAGAATAGATACCTTGACTCTTTTATTCTTGGTAACATTAATCTAGAATCTGGAATAGATACCTTGGTTCTTTTATCCTTAGTAATATTAATCTAGAATCTAGAATAGATACCTTAGTTCTTTTATCCTTGGTAACAATAATCTAGAATTTACAATAGTTACCTTAGTTCTTTTATCCTTGGTAACACTAATCTAGAATCTAGAATAGATATCTTAGTTCTTTTATCCTTGGTAACAATAATCTAAAATCTAGAATAGATACCTTAGTTCTTTTATCCTTGGTAACACAAATATGAAATCTAGAATAGATACCTTAGCTCTTTTATCCTTGGTAACATTAATCTAGAATCTTGAATAGATACCTTGGTTCTTTTATCCTTGGTAATATTAATCTAGAATCTAGAATAGATACCTTAGTTCTTTTATCCTTGGTAACAATAATCTAGAATTTAGAATAGTTACCTTAGTTCTTTTATCCTTGGTAACAATAATCTAGAATCTAGAATAAATAACTTAGTTCTTTTATCCTTGGTAATATTAATCTAGAATCTAGAATAGATATCTTAGTTCTTTTATCCTTGGTAACATTAATCTAAAATCTAGAATAGATACCTTAGTTCTTCTATCCTTGGTAACATTGATCTAGAAGATGTATCATCCTCGGCATGATATGCTTTAATATCCTCATCTAATCGGCGACGTTTTTTCAAAATAAAAATATTTAGACTTAACTTTTTCTTCTCTTTATAGACTTTGCAAAGTTAGCAGAAACTAAAAATGTCGTCTTCCTGTTATAGTTTCTGGTCATCCCGGTGGATTCTCATTTGAACTACTGCCGTTTGAACTATGGTTCGTTTGAACTATTGTTCGTTTGAACTATTGTTCATTTGAACTACTGACATGACGTCATATCCTATAGTTTAAATCAACACATTTCTTGCTCATTTGAACTATTTTTTTACCATTTCAGTTTTAAAATTTTTCATAATTCCCTTAAAGTTAGTTTATGATGACAATTATAAATTTATAGATAACAATTACACAGAAATGTTTCAAATATAAACATAAAAATAGTTTAAATTAACAAAAAAAAATCCAAAAATCGTTCTCTAGGAATATACCAATAGTTCAAATGAAAAAAAAAATAGTTCAAATGAACAGAGAATAGTTCAATTGAACATAGTACAAATGAAATAGTTTAAATTCGAACTTTTTTTTGTTCATTTCAACTAATTTTTTGGCCATTTTAACTATTTTTGAGTTCAATTTAACTATTTTTTGTCCATTTTAACTAATTTTTCGTCATTTTCATTTGAAATATTTTTTTCTTATTTCATTTAAACTATTTTTTTTTATTTGAACTATTTCATTTGAACTATTTTCAAGTTCATTTGAACTATTTTTATGTTTATTTGAACTATTTTTTTTGTTCATTTAAACTATGTTTGTGTTCATTTGAACTATATTTTTGTTCAATTGAACTATTTTGTGTTCATTTACACTATTTTTTTGTTCATTTGAACTATTTTTTTGTTCATTTGAACTATTTTTTTGTTCATTTGAACTATTTTTATGTCCATTTGAACTATTTTAATGTTCATTTGAACTATTTTTTGTTTATTTCATTAATAATATTAATAGTTCAAATGAACTAAAAAATAGTTCAAATGAGCAATATATTTACTCGTTTGAACTATTGTTCATTTCAACTACTCACGTGGTACCACGTGCAGTAGTTGAAATGAACAATAGTTTAAATGAACAATAGTTCAAACGGCAGTAGTTCAAATGAGATAGCATCGTCCCTAACCATTGTATGATAAAAGTTATAATTAAAGTTTACACAATATCAAGTAAAGTGTGGGTGTTTAATTAAGACTAAATAAGTTATTGAAAGGTGTATCTACTTATAATTCCAAATAGCAAGAAATGAAGATTAAAGAAGGAAAAAAATGATCTGAGCTGAAAACTTTAGAATGTGATATCCTTAATTATTAAAAAATTGGGACTAAAGTCATCTTGAACGTTAGTTTTAAAAAACATTAATCCAAAACTTACGCTCGTTCAATCGATTGTTAGTAGATTGCAATTGATATGACACCACAAATACGGAATAATCAAACACCGATTTTTCAAAGCTCTATCTCTTTCAAATCTTTGCTTTAATCTCTAGAAATTAATCTAAAGACTAAAATATTTAGAGATAGGCAATAATAGAGTATCAAGCATTGATCTTGATATCCACCATTCCAAAGTTGTCAGTAAAGTTGAAAATCAAAATTTAGCTTTATATATATTTTCTCCCTTTAAATTCTTAAATTAATTGTAAAAAAATCTCCCTAGTTTCCAGTATTCACACTTTTCCCTACCAGTGCCTGAAAATTAAAAATATTGCAAAATATTTGAAATTTTGTTATTATAACTTAAAATTTTTTTTTTACCCTTTACACGTTTTACATTTCCATAAGCAACAGGATCTGGCACATGGGCAGCGTCACTTAAAATCATTTAAAATTTTTTTATAGATTGAAAATTAGAAACACATTATGAAATAAGACAAAAAGAAGTTTTTGATATTTTAGTTTTATATTTTAGTTGTTAAAGAGAGTGTACACGTAGCTTTTATTGTCAGATTTCCAACCTTTTTAAGTATAATCAAGAATTAATGAAAAATCCTTGTTTTCTCTGCTTTGTGTGGTATTAGTGGACAGTTTTTAGGTTCTGATAGATTTTATTGTGTTTTTAACAGCTCAAATTGATAAGATTTGTAAATTTTTTATGTTTTCATATTCCTACCTTAAAAGTGCGGAGTTGTAATAAGATTCATTCAGTTGTTCTTGTTTGCTGTAAAGTTTTCATTTCAAAATAAATTCATTTACAATAATTTGGTGCTCCAAGTTTTTGAAGATTTTTCAGATTTCAGTTGGCAATTATATTCATACTATAAAGACGACTTTTTTCAATAATGCTTTTATACTTAACAAGCATTTTTTAATTACAAGTTAAAAGTATACAAAGAGAAGCTGTACGAAGAAATATATTGATATGCATTAAACACATCTTTTAGGTTACAAGTCACAAAAATATATCAAAAATAAAAACCTTGCTTATAAACAAGGTATTGAAAACAAACTTAAGTTATTTTTGTAAGTTTGATTGCAGTGGATTTATGAAATTCAAACCCTAGAATAACGATTGGTGAAAATATTTGAAAAATAAAAATCAATACTTTATACATTTTTACTATTCTGAAAAAAAAGAAAAAAGGTTCATATTTCACTATTTAAATAGAATGGTCTACTTGCATTTTTTAATGTATAGTTTATCATGATTAACTTTTTTGCAAGCTTATTGCATATTGCAAACAAATCCCCCCACCCCCCGCCCCGGCAGATATCACTAATAACTAGACAACAGAATTCAGGATATTATATTAATTACTTTGTGACCTCGTAGCTCCTCTAGTTATGGTTTTAAAGCAAATACATATAAATACGTATAATAAGAAGTTCAAAACATGTTTGTTCTTCTCAATAGCTTTTCTATTAAAGGAGATATAAACATATGACAATCTTGAACTTGAAGAATAAAAAGATCTAAGGATTTTTGCCTTATGTTTTAGCTTTTAATGGTTAATAAATAAATTCCGCACTGTCGTCTCTCTTAAATTCTTATCTTTTATGAGTTGCTCCGTAGAATTTTCTTTCACTGTGTGTAATATTTCCCAATCAGTATACTATACTGTGCTATACTGCAACTGTTGCGTTAAATTCACCTGGATTAACATATTCTTATGAAATCAACCAATAAGAACACAGCACGGATTGTTTTACTTCGATGATTTTTGTGTAGACAAGAATTTACCATAGTTTCTGAGACCTAATTTGGTCTTTTTATCCATTAAAAAATCTATTTTATCCCTATGAGTTCTCACCAGGATTCAAGATGTGCACACTTTCACACAAAATCGAGTATTATTTTGCCAATTACTTCTTCTAAATTTAAGCTAGAAAGGCGCATTGCAATTTTAAAATCTACGTTCATGCTTGGGGTTAAAAAAATGTACAAGTAATTTGTCAGGCGAGAACCCAAAGCCAAGGCGTTGTGACACTTACAAGTTAAGGCTGTTAAAAGTTTTTTATATAACATTCAGGGTTTAAGAGCGTCCCATTATCCCATATCAAGTTGAATTATCTCTAAGCTATAATTAATGCCATAATTAGTATGCATAGTACTGATAAAATCTTGTATTATCTGCAATTGAGAATTTGCCACAAACTCAAATTTTCTGATAACTATATCTCTTCAACCTGATGGTGTAAAATTTTGATACACAGTTTCTTACTTATTTCTAGAAAAAAAAACATTAAACAAAATTATAAAGATATTTTTTATCCTAAAAATAATCTCTTCAAAAGAATGTTGTGTTGTGTTTTTCTCATTTCACCGGCCACCGCGCCAGTCCTGTATATGGATTAGAAAAGTTCTAATTTTTTTCTTTTTCAAAATTCGAGATTTCAAGTTTACAAGGACGTACTTTTCTTAAAGGGACAGTACGCGTAATTTCATGTCACCCTCCAGCTATAAACATATGTGTAACAGGAGATAAATGATTAAAGGAAGTTTTAGAGGTAACATTTTGAATAGGAGCAGCCAAGGTACAAGTGGAACTACGTCTACATTCCCTTTAAAATGTGAGATAAGAAACATAAATGTAGATGTATTGCCTATCTACAGTTCACCTAATACAGCAAAGCGATAAGAACAATGTTTGTACCTTTTCTTAACGATAAAGACAAAATTCAATTCATTCGAGAGGTTCAAGTGTGCGGTTACCAATGGTTTATAGAGAGGAAGAAATCTATAGAAGTGACCAATTACTTAAAAGACTAGCAAGACAAAGAAATTGAGTCTGATTTTCTATTCCCTTTATCTTTGAAACCTAATGTTGTAAACCTCAAGTTTGAATTCTGCTAATTAAAAAACTTAGTTTGAAATGTCAAAGGCTTAACCCATCAGGTTGCAAAGAAATAGGGATTAGAAAAATTAAGTTTGTGAGTAAGACTCATGTTCTTTGATTGTTTATAAAATAATCACAAATTAAGCATACAGTCATAACCAGAAAACTCCGAAATAGAAAGACGACTTTATAGAAATACGTAAGTGTATTTGATGTTGTTAAAGAGCAAATAAATTTACAAGACAATTATTAAATCAAAAATCAAGTGAAATTGGTCTGTTTACACTGAATAATTTCTGTTTCCCGTGCTCATTGGATTACCTAAAGTGTTAATTTAAGTTTAAAAGTCGTCTTCCTATACCAGAGTTTTCTGGTTATTACTGTTTGATGCTGAAAGATATAATTATTTTTAAGCAGAAAGATTATCAGTTTTTACCATAAAGATCTTTCCGAAATAATAACTTCCAAAGTTGTTTAACTAAAGATCATCACAAAATAAAAAAGATGCTTTGGTCCAATCAAAAATGTATCATTCTTCGATGGAAATTTTGATTCTATTTTTTCCTGCTTAGGTCTAGGGAAAGGGTTTTCCCTGTACCGTGGGGGAAAATTGCAGCACAAGAGTGGGGAAATAATCAGGTAAAAGAATTGTTCTTATCTTAATTTCTTTATTTTAATCCTAACGTAAAAAAACTTTTTCAGATTTTAAACTTGCAAAATATTTTGTCCAGTTATTATCAAAAATATTTAAGAAATAATCTTGCAAAAACTTCCATGTACAAATACCTTTTCTTTCATTTCAAAATAAACATTTCATATGCAAAATATCATTCTTAATTTAACCCTATTCCTGCTATCCTATTTGACCCCCCCCCCTGTAGTTTTTTTTACATAACTCAAAAAGTATTGGTCTGAGGCTGTTGAAATTTTCTGACTTTTCGTACATACCCAAAGCCCTCCCTTTAGACCTAAACCCGGGCTTTAATACTAACTGCCTGAGTCCTCAGGCACACTGCCTGAATGACTGCTTTTGCCTGTAACAAACTAAATCTTTGTTTTGACCCAATTCCACTTGTCAGATTTTGATAAAATTTAGCTTTTTGGAAAGCCTTTGAGATAAGGAAACGAATTGCACAAGTTTTGCGGAAATAAATTGCAACTTTTTTGCAAAAAATCTGTCAAAGGAAATTTGCATATTTTTAGTTTTTCTTGATTAAAAATCTGGTTATTTAAAATTTTGCACAAATTTTGCATATTTGAAATGGCATGGTCAAGGGCTTTTCAAAAATGTATAATTTTTCATTTTTTGGACAAATTTTTTTTTGCAAACATTTTTACTATATAACTGAATTTTGCGATAAAAAATTCAATTTTTGCAAATTTGTTTGCAGATTCTAAAAGTAGAGCACAAGAGCTTTCCAATGATGTATCATATTTGTCATATTTGGACATCAAACATGGGATTTAGAGGGGGGGGGGGGGTCAAATTGACCCCCCAGCACATCCTGGTTTTCAAGTACCCCAGCAGAGATAGGGTTAATTGAGGTCAGAAATTTTGTCATTAATCTTGAACACTTGATCTCTACATCTAATGCGGGCACTTTTCAAATCTAATTATTAATAGATTCCATTTATATCACTTTATTTAAAATGACACTTTTTTGTAGGACTGTTTGTCCGATTCATAACGGTACCCTTTGATATTCTGTATTAAACTCAGTAACACAACTTTAAAATTTTAGCTTGAAAAGTTAAGGATCTTCGATCAGAAAAATCGTTTACCATGCAGTTGTTGTAAATCAAACATGTTACATACATACAAGAATGACTAATATATGTTGAAGGATTCGATGATTACATAATAACTGAAATGATAAATATGTTATGTAATGAGTAATGATCAATGTTGTCTATTTGTGCATAATTTTGCATATTTTTCTCTTTTCTTTTGGAAACCTGTATTTTCAAAAATTTATTTAAACAAATTTAAACTACACCTTTTATATATGTATTCATATCTTTGTGTGTGAATAAATCTTTATAATAACTCTAAAAATGAAGGTTCACTTAAATTTACGTCTATATATAATACTAGCTGAATGGCCCGGCGTTGCCCGTGAAAAAAAAATTTGAAAAAAGTTTTGAGAAGAAAATATTGGAAAAAAATAGAATTCCTGATTTTATTTAGCGGCCACACATGAGTAATCACACAAATTTCAGCCACAATCGGTCAAGACGTTTGGCAGGCTATCCACAACATACATTTGAATGCTTTGTTTTATTTAAGGCTAATCAGCATTGGTTACTGGTTCATGGTTGGTTGGACAATTCTAATTCATGGATTCATCTTGCACCTCTCCTAGCAGACAGGTTAGGACAGGTTAGGACTGGTTAAGACTGGTTAGGACAAGCTAGGACAGGTTAGGAAAGGACGAAAACGGTTAGGACAGGTTAGGTTAGGTTAGGATACAAGTGGAAAGGTTAGGACAGGTTGGGAAGTGTAGGTTAGAGAGGGCCAGGTTAGGACAGGTTAGGTATGGTCATGACAGGAAAGGTCGGGACCGCTTAGGAAAAGTCGGTATGATCACGTGATTACTAAATTTAAAGGTGATTACGTGATTACTATATTTAGAGGTGATCACGTGATTACTATTTTTAGAGGAGATTATGTGATCGTTTTATTTAAAAGTAATCATGTGATCGCTAAATTTAGAGGAGATCATGTGATCGCAATTGACCTACCTGGTTGTGGAATGAGTTCCTGGCTACCTAAAGGAATGATGTATCATGATTTGGAGATTCTTGGTAAATTAAATCATTCTTTAAAGGGACTGTAAACGGTGTTTTTGATATGGTGACCTTTTATATAATTTACAACTTTATTGTAGCATCATGACTCAGTGGCTGAAGTTTAAACTGACGAGGGTCAACCCAGACCGAAATATATTTTCAATAAATGTGGAACTAACATCTACTTTTTTACTCTACAGAGGTTTGGTCCATCACCATCACTGAATTTTAAATCATCAAAGAAATGTCCACCATAATTGCTAATGTAAAAGTGAAAGAGTTTGTAAATTGTTTAAGCACTAAAAGTTACGTGAACGGGTTGCTTTAAATGGTTTGCAGACGTAATTTCCAGAGACTTTCCCTTTATAGAGGGGACTGTACGATACACAACAATACACTTTAAACCCTTGTCTATTCATTATATAGTTATCTATGTTTTTTTACAAATCATTTTTTTAAATGCGGGTTCTTTATAAAGATAATTTGCGGGTTTATTGCTGTAGCAACAATTGAGAAAACTGTGCGATTTAAACACTTTACAAGCCAGGAAAACTATATATTCCATATTATTAGGTTTAAAAGGGTACCGGTATAAATCTGTAATGCCCCTTTTAAATAGATTGCCATTTTAAATCACATATATCGACAAGCTCTTCAAGAATTTGGTTTTGATTGATTGATATTTTCAGGGGCGATTCATAGAGTTGTTCTTCAGCTGAATTGGAAAAGGTAAATTAATTTATTTCACATTTGTTTCTAATTTCTGACAGCGTCTAATCCAATCAGAGCTCATGCTCACGTACTTTGTGATTATGTACAGGGTGTCCCACGAAACATGTCAGTTGGTGAATAGCTTAGAATGTCTTTTTTCCATAATTTGTTAAGTTGTTTGATACCAAAGATCAATAAAAATATTATAAGGGAGTCATGTTATATCAAAATTGATATCAAAGTAAAATATAATTAATCAAAAGATTGGTTTAACTAAAAATAGCTATTTATTTAATGTCATGTTTCGTGTAGTACCAATAGAGATTGAGACAGTGGCATCATTTATCTATACTATACAATACATGCAGTAAATTAGTGGCAAAGACTTTACTTACATTGAAACAAGTGTGATAAAATCAGTCTAATGTTGTAAACCTTTTTTTGATGTAATTATTTGACAAAGTTGAAAAATTCAAAAATGTCAGAAAACACTTTGAAACAAAAATTAGGTTTCTTAAATTTTTTTTTCATAACTAGGTTTGGGTTGATCGGACACTCGCTAGGCGGAGGGTTGGTGTTGACCTACGCCGCAACATTCCCTGAAAGTGTATCTCATCTTGTCATGCTAGATATCACATTTGTACCAATCAGGTTTATACAGGGTGTTCCAATAAACATGGGAATTCGACGAATTCGATATCGTATTTCTAAATAATTCTTTGATTTAGTATCATGATATCTAATGAGAAAGCTGTAATCTGTAAGAGTTTCGTCTGCTATGTTCACATTTTTTGTTTATGTTTTGACTGCTTACGGTTGTACTTAGTAAAACAAGGAAATTACAGTATACAAACAGAGTAAACTTGTCCGTCTTCACTGTTCATCTTGCGGAGACATTATAGACACATCTTTGCAGTCTTTTACCCTTTTCATAAATTAAACTCTAGCAGACATAATAATATTAAGGCTTTTGAAATTAGGTATTACAATGCTAATTCATATCAAAGACGATATCGAATTCGTCACTGAATTCGTCACTTCTTTCCAAGCACTTTACAACACTGCTAACCAAAATAACCGTAAATCATAATGTTTTTTCTTCAGACCTTTGACCCCGTACAGTTTTCAGCCTAGGGTTCGGAAGTCTATTGAGTCATTTCTATTCATAGAAAACAAATTGGAGTCAGGGTAGGCCCATATTTTCTACAGACAGTGTTAAATGAAGGGACTTGACACTTAATCAGATTGACATTTTCTGTACTGACACACTACTTTTCAAAACGAAGTGTCACTGAAAATTACATCTTCTACACAAGTGTTGATTTGAAATTTTATTCCAGAAAGTGTTTTTCAGCTTTCTCTTTTTCTATTCAAAACAGAAAAATAAAACTTTTAATTAACATTTTTTGGGATTAATGGAAGCTTGGAAAAATCATTTTTTTTCTTGAAATTATTTGTACTTTATTTATCTGATTAACATGATTCCTGAGAAAAATATTAAATTTGTATATAAATATAAAATTTAATAATTGATAGTAAACCCTTTACCTGATAAGTAAAACCTTGTAAAGGAATTGAGTATTTGCAACAAAATCTGATTTCCTAATTCCTTTATCTTTGCAACCCAAAGTCGTCGAGCTTAGAAATTTCAAACTCTGTTCGATCAAAAAGTATAAGTTTGAAATATCTAAGGTCTTCACCATCAAGTTGCAAAGATATAGGGACTACAAAATTTTTCAAGCGAAAACTAAATTCCTTTATTTCTTTTTATTTCAGGTATGATAAAGTGTTTAAGAGTAAAGAAGAAGCCAGGTTTAACACTTTAAAAATGATCTTTTATTATTTAAAAAAAAAGAAATTTTTAATGTTTACTTATTTTATAGCCGGGTTTCCAAGCTACTGTAATAGTAATAAAAAACATCTTAAAATCCTAGCTTTGGAATGCAGCTTTGCTTGGAAACTAATCTTTCTTTTTAAAAGACAACCTGCACTAAAATTAGAATTTTAAACCAAGCTGAAAACAGTCCCGGGGTTTTATTAAGTTTTCCAATACAAATTTGAGTCACATCGGTGTCCGCCGCCAAAAACCGGTTTCAATTGAGCGCCGGCTTAAATCTTGAAACATTGAATACAATTTTAAGTGAAACCAATCATATTTGAGCCGCAGTTTAAATTTAAGCCGCCGATCAAACTTTTAAAATTCGGCCTCGGGTTCCAGAATTATAATCGGTCACTCAAACAGGCAAACATATGGATTACTACTTTTATATATAGATATATACAAATATATGAAAAAATGGTTTTTCAATTTAAAATTGATGAACATGAATCCGTGCTATAATCCTTAGTAATTAGGTGCAGTTCTAATCCGTGCTATAATATTTAAAATTAGGCGCAGTTCTAATCCGTGCTATAATACTTAGTAATTAGGTGCAGTTCTAATTCTTACAATTTTTTAAAATAGAGATCGTTTGATGAAACCGCCAGTCTATCTCAAGGAAAACCATTTATTTACACTAACCAAACCATTTTCAAGCCTAAAAACCCTAAGAAGGGCTTATATAGGTTTTTTTTTCAGTAAAATTCTTCCTCGATTAGATCAGTTTATAGGGGAGTGGGGACCAGGGTGACTTGGTTTTCATATTATACAAGTAGCAGCTTTAACGGGTTTGTTTATAAAAATCTGAAATTTAAAAATTAGAAACTTTGAATGAATTCTTGTAAAAATTAAATAGTTTTGATAAAAGGAACATGGAGTAACGGAGACCTATACGGTGGAATCCGCGGATATTTTGTTAGAACGAGGTTAGTTTTTTTTCTAGCCACGGTTTATTTATATATGGAGATAATAACATAGATATAGTTTAATTTATCCACTGAGTAGATAGATATAGAGTGGAAATCTTTATCTTGTTTAACCACGGTGTAGTTAATTATGGAGAGATATTGCTGAATCTTGTTTTACCTACGTAGTAGTTAGATGTTATTTATTATTATTATATTATTATTAATTATTTATCTGACATATTGGCACATATAGTCGGTTAAAATGCCTCCTGGGTTACAGAATGTTTAAAAAAATAGTTTTCAAATTATTCAAGGATTGGAAAAGGTGGATGTTGGATACAGGTTGAGAAGAGATATTAGATGGGTAGTACCATCCCTCTATTTTCTAGGTATTATTATCATCGTTGTAATCATCCTTTTCATTAGTATGTCGTCTTTGTTCTGTATTTTGATGAAACTGTTTGGATTATAACTTCTAATGGTCACTTCTCTGAAAATGTGTTTTGAACATTTGTAGAGATATACCGTCAATTGTACAAGCTAACACTATTTATAAAATATAACATTACTGGTAACATTAGTTATGAAAACAAATGGTAAAAACGACGTTTATCCAATTTTACATTTTTACTTTATAAATACTTTTCTAAGATGCAATGAAATAATCAAATAAAATGTTGATTATCAAATGGCTGTAAACGTAATTTCAATTGTTGATAGAATGGCATGTCCGATTCACAACAGTACCCTTAAAACTTGGGCTGATCAAGTATGAATTATAAGTATATTTTTTGTTTTAAATAGCTGTTTATTTTATTTTATGGGTTCTCTACGAAAGTGACCATTTTGGCCCCAGAAAGAATGGTGAAATTATCAGAAATAAACAGTTTTCAAGCCAGATGAACGTCGTCAATTTTCACATTATTTATTTGATAAGGATTCAGGGGTACTGTTGTGATTGGACACATCCTTCTTTTTAAATGGAGCTTATAACGATAGTTCCTTTCAATATCAATTCATATCCCCTGGAATAGTTGTTTATTTTTTGCAGGCTATTTACGAAATAGTTATTCATGGAAATTTTTTTTTAGATTTTAACGATCAGCGAGAGCAGGTAAAAATCTTTTTTAAATCATCAAAATTTTTTTTTTTTTAATTCTGAAATATTAAAAGAGGGGAGAGGCCCGGGCCCGGGGAGGGGCCAATATTATACAAACTGCCAATATTAACGACAGAGTTAGAGCTTAATATTGTGACATTTGATACAGTCGTCGTCGAATACTTATCAATAAAAATAAAGACGACTTTTAGTTTAAATATTTGATCTATACTAAGCTTTAAAACAGTATGGATACACATAAATATGGAAACAAAGAGAAGCCATAAAAATAAAGCCATTGTTTACTTGTAAACTTTTTATTTAAAAAAATCTTTTTGAAAATCAAAACTTTAATAGAAAAGTTGTCTTTAGTGATATTAACGACGACCGCTGTACGTTTAAGGTCGTCATTAAAGCCTCATTCTTTGTTAGATATTTATTCGATTAAACTCTAGGGAAAGAATATACGTTGTCCACACTTAATTATCGAAGCCTCGAAGGGCCCCAAGTCTGAGTTTGCTCACTCGATGTATCCAATCTTTAGGTAAGTAGAACTAGTGGAGCCACAAAGTGAGGGCATACAGTGAGAACCAGAAAACAAAGCAATTCTCGTCGACCTTACTTCCTTTGAATTTCTACAAAAATATTCTGAGCAATAATTTATTCAAAAAAGTATATTGTATTAAATTGTATATTGATTTTCAGCTGCAACAATTGTAAATCACATTTCTCAATTAAAGGACGACATTCATTCACATTTTTCTGATTCTTAATTGATCTTTAAGGGTTACACTTTGGTGTTTTTTTAATTAAAATGTTGCAAGTGAAAATTATTAAGAATCTAAAATAAATTCATAAAACAATACACTTTGCTTGTCTATTTGTTTGTCCGTTTTTATCCAATAAACGTCAAAACGGCTGAACAGATCGGGCCTACATTTGTGTGGGACTTCACCCCAGGGAAGGTTTATTTCAGCTCAGAGTTACAAAAGTTTGTCTCCAAAATTTTAGATTTTCGTAAAATTTTTTAAATTCATAAAACAAATCTGTAAATCTGCAAAAAACGTTATTATTGTTTCATTCAAGAGAAAATGCTGAAAGACTGAGCAACAAATAAAAGTTAAACGCGAAGCGTCCTGATACCCTAGTTTGTAATCAAAAGGAAAAATGTATTTCTTTTTTTAAAAACGTCGTCTTTTAAAACGTTTATCGGAAAAAAAGTTGTGTATTATAGCTCAGTTTTAGCTCAATATTGAGCGAGATATCAGATTGTGATGCAGGAGCTGTTTTTCATGTTCATTCGACTAATTAAAATCCCAACTTGAAAGCGGATATCCACAGTTTTATGAGTTCCACTTTCAATTTTTTTATTTAGAACAAATCCTGAGTTTGTGAGCCACCATCTGGAGGGTTTACATCATATTCACATGAACCAGCATAATAAAGTAAACGAGGTAAAAAAAGTTTTCATCAAACTTTCTTTTAATTGTTGTGTGTAGCCTTATATAGAAATGTACTACAACACGTTTGTTTCTAGCTTTTGCTTAAATGACTGATGATTTTTGTGTCCAAATATGATTCAATTTGACCGACCTCTAAGTTAATGAAAAATTTGATCATCTCACACTCCATGGAGTGTTTTTTATTTGGATTTTTTAAATTCTAAGCTGTTCAGATAAAAAATTTCGCTGAAATTTGCAATTTTTTTAATCACGTCTTTGAACTAACAAAAATCAGTTTAGATCAACAATGTTCAGAATTAAGTTATTAACTAATTAATTCGAAATCTGTTTTATGAAAATGCTATTCACTAAAAAGACTTTATTGACGACATAAAATAGTATGAATTTCGGGGGGGGGAGGGGAACAGTTTTGATAAAGAAAATCAAATTTGTTTAATGTTACCCTCCGGGTACTCATGGGTTTCCTGAAAATTTGGTTCAGCCGTTTAGCTACCTATTGCTAAATATATATACATATGTTAAAGATTTTATATAACATACTGTTAGATAGAAATAAGTTTGACTCATAAACAAGAAGCGTTAGACAGAAGTAAGAATATATTGTGAACATATCTATTTACTATACATGCCGCCTTTTCAGAAATCTTCTTTAAATAATTCACTTTGTATTTTAGATAATTCTCGAGTTCTTAAATTCTGCTCATCAACAGAGAAAGGCAAAAATGTAGTTTCCATGAATTAAAAATAACATTGATTGTAAACATGAACAAGATATAAGACATAAATAATTGAAATGTTTAAAATAAATAACATTGCAATAAGTAATTATTCATTTTATTCTGTAAATCTATAGCACATCTAAATTATAAAAGATATTTTCATTAATTTACATTTAATGCTGAAATGTTGGAATAGTGCAGAAATTATAAACCAAAATGTTAAACAAAATAACGTAACGATATTTTCGCGCGGATGAATATTTTAATCGTTGAATTTGGTTGATATTTACAATATATTGTAACAGTGGGCGAGTTTTGTTGATCTTTTACGATCAGCAATTCAAGGATTTTTTGGATCGCTGAGATCATAGCTACCAAGGGGAATCATGCCCCCTTCCCCCCCCCCCCATCTTTAACCCTACGGTTGGACTTTAGAGTCCTATTTTGAATCCTAACGGATTTATTTGAGTTTGCATTTGGATTCTATAAATATCCCAAGCGACGCCGAATTTTCCGTTATCTTGAAGACCCAAGCGTTGGGGAGGGGGCGGAACAACCCCGGGGTAGCTAGGGTTAAATGCGATCCTAGGATGGAGCAAAATCGAAGGAGGACAGGCAGTTGAAGACCAGCTCCCTATGTGTAGGTTCCCTTGAAGAATTCCCCTATTTGATGAAACTGATTTGATTCATAATATTTAGTTTGTATAAGTGAAACGATGAAAAAATGCAAAATGTAAAAATGTCCCCTATTTGATGAAACTGATTTGATTCATAATATTTAGTTTGTATAAGTATCGTTCGATTTAAAGTTTGTATCTTTTGTATATAAATATATTGTAAGAAAAGCCGACTCGTTGAATATTTGAGAAACTCAGTGCATTGCTTTATTGATTTTTATTCATATACAATAATATATATACATTTATATATTTAATGTTTACTTAGTCTGTTGATACCTATCAAAATACGGTTCAAATTATTAAATATTTTTGATATTTACAAGTAGTTTTATATCATTAAAACGATTTTTGTGCATCATTAATGATATTATTGTATCAAAACAAAAGAAGAAATTTTTTCATCAAAAATTTGAAAATAAACATATTAAAATCAAAATTTTAGTGAATTTCGAGGTAGAGGCGGTATAATTGTTAAATGACCAAAACATATGCAAAATCATTGTAAAATCAATTAATACAAATAGCTTAAACAGCAAGAAGTGCACACTGCACAGGTCACCATTTTCTTAAAATAACTAACAAACAACTCTGCAAATTTAAATTCTTACAATTGAAACTAGCTGAAACAACACACACAGTGCACTGTTTTTTCTTAAAATAAAATGTCAAAATTTCAAAATTTTACGATTTCTATGTACAATAACAATACATTCATCTATATAGTTTAGTCATAAAATAGTATATAAATACGGACCAAAAGTCGGCTTTGTTCAATATATTTATTTGAAATGTAGATATCAAACGATTTTGTAATTTGTAACAGAGTTATGCACTGGTACAGTGGTCGGCGATTATATCGACACAATGAAGACGACTGTCGATTTCTATTTTGATTTATCAAGCTGTTTAACAGCATGGAAACACATAAACAAAGAATTCAAGATAGCTGTCAATCAAAAAAGCATCTCTTTGATTACTTGTAAACTTTTAATTCGAAAAAGCTTATTTACAATCAAAACTAAAATAAAAAGTCGTCTTTAGTGAATTAATATAATTGCCTATTCTACTGTATATTTTAATAAACAAATCAAAATGACATAATGGCCTTGATCTCGAAATCGTCACTTAATTTTCATGTTTACTGAGACACTGGAAAATGTGAAAGGAACGTTTTTACTTGTGACAAATTTACAAAATCTTGATGAAGTTGCTTATAAAGAGATCTTTAAAAGCCAAACAAACAGGCTCGTTAGTAATTCAAATAGAGTTATTTACACCACATAATGTCGTCTTGAAAACACAAAAAATTTGATTTTCACCTATGAAATGAAAATGCATGACCAAATAAACATCGTGTTTCTGTTTTCAGAGTGTCCAAATAAATATTGAAAAAAAGAATATTGATCTATGTGCCATGTTTTACTAAAACTGATTTTACAAGAATAAAATTAAAATCTTTTGTAATTGATGTGGTTTCAAAAGTTTTGGTAAGGTTTTGATATATTTCATAAAACTGAAAAACAAGGTCTTTTTTCCGATGTTTTTTTGACACAAAAAGGCGATCATTGAATAAAATTCTATGATCAAACAACACAAAAAAGAATACAAAATATACACCAAACTAAAAATTTAAATAAGCTAATTTTGGTATAAATTTTGTTTTAATCATTGTTAATGCCCCCAATCACTTTTTCAGTCTATTGACTCCCCCAAGGCAGAACAATGTTAGGTTATATTCATGCCTAAAAAGATACTTTGGTTTTAAAAAATTAATTCGAAATTTAATTTAAAGTTGTCTTAAAATTTTATGTCACCCTGTCAAATGGGGCGAACTGAAAATGTGGATAAAGGACGTTTTTGTTTGAATTGTTAGAGTTTATAAACTGGAGATTTTGGGTCGGAATTGAGTTTATAAACTGGAGATTTTGGGTCGGAATTGAGTTTATAAACTGGAGCTGTTGTGTCGGAATTGAGTTTATAAACTGGAGCTGTTGTGTCGGAATTGAGTTTATAAACTGGAGCTGTTGTGTCGGAATTGAGTTTATAAGCTGGAGCTGTTGTGTCGGAATTGAAATGAATCTATTGTGTTGTTGCTGATAAAATCAAGGATACTCCTGAAATAAAATAAACTATAAATCTATAAAAATTTTTAACCACAACCCAGAAACTAATATTGCAATTTAATTAAAAAGGGGCATGTTCGCTTCACACTGATACCCTTTAAACATTTATCTGTCCAACAGTGGGGAAGAACATAGATTTTCCAGGTAAACAAGTTTAGACCTCATAATTTTCTCCCTTTTTCTGTCGCAAGAAGTCTGCAAATCAATTTTATAGAGAAACCAAGCAAGGGAAAAAACCTAAGAAATCCCGCGCAAGCTATATCATTAATTTCTAATCAGAAATAATACATAAATGGAAGGTCGCATGATATTAAACGTTAAAATCCCTTTAAGTCTTAATATAGCAGATTAGATTCTATACTTACAGTTAAACCAAGTATACAACACAAGACTAATAAATAAAATTTACAAAATAATCTGCAGTATTTCTATCTTCAAAAGGATAGACGACAAGAATTTCCATTGTTTTCTTAGAAACATTTTGTCAAGAAGACATAATTCAAGATATATACAATTTTGTTCATCATCGAAAAATCTCGGCCTCACATAAGTTGATATCTCTTTTTTTATAAAAATCCATAAATGATCCATTTTTTTGTTCTAATTACTGTACCATCTGTTTTCTTTGGTCTGTTTTTTGTTTACAATTTGTACCAGATTCAGTCAGATCTTAATTAAGAAATAAAAAATGAAAAGAAAATTTTACAATACACTCTTTGTTGCAAATTTGTTACCCATACACTGAGGAATTCTCAGACGATATTAAATCAAAATGTATTTGATGTATGGTATCACTATAGGTTTACCATTATACTTAAAAATCTACTTATTCCGTTAAATAGGTCTGGGCACATTGCACAATTGCGGTGTCTCATGTAAAGTCAATGAACATGAAACACTGAAGTTGTTCAATTGTAAACAGACCTATTTCACTTAATAAGTGATCAAAAAATTTCCTAGTATAATTATTTGCTTTGTAACAACATCTAATACAGTTGATTATTATTTTAATGTCGTCTTCATATTTCATATTTTTCCCGTTTTCACTGTATGCTTATATATATACTAGTCTAAAAGTCATCTTTTTATTTTCTAGTTAAACGGGGGACCTGCACTGTACTGTACCTGACATGGTTGTAAACAATGTCCCTGGCTATAGGAAGTAAATGGGGGACCTGCACTGTACTGTACCTGACATGGTTGTAAACAATGTCCCTGGCTATAGGAAGTAAACGGGGGACCTGCACTGTACTGTACCTGACATGGTTGTAAACAATGTCCCTGGCTATAGGAAGTAAACGGGGGACCTGCACTGTACTGTACTGTACCTGACATGGTTGTAAACAATGTCCCTGGCTATAGGAAGTAAACGGGGGACCTGCACTGCACTGTACTGTACCTGACATGGTTGTAAACAATGTCCCTGGCTATAGGAAGTAAATGCTGGCGTACACTCTCATCTTCAACTAAACATACTTCTGTTACAGTAGTCGTCGTTTATATCAGCACAAAAAAGACGCTTTTCTATATAAATTTCAATATCTATCAAGAAATTTTAAACAGCTTTGATACACAAAAAAATCAAACAAAAAGAAGATGTTAATTAACAGATTCGTTTATTGTTTACTTGTAAACTTTCAATTTGAAAAAAAAACTTGTTAGAAATCAAAACATAAATAAAAAGTCGTCCTTATTATATTGGTATAAACACCGTGCACTGTATTTAATGGTTCATTTTCATAGAGTAGATAGTAGATAGTAGAAATCAAGTCAATTAAATACTTGGCTCATATACGTGCTTTAAAGACTCCTTCTTATCATTGGACTCTGAGATATAAAATTTGTCATCAAAATTGTTACCAGCTTCGACTTTAAAGTCTCCTTAGCCGTTGGTTTTACTCACTTATACTTTTTATACATGTTGAAATTGCAAGTGTGACGTGCTTGTTTCTAGCTGAAGTTTAAAAAGGAATAATTGGCAAACTAATGCTTGACTTTTATGTGAGAGCCTGCACACCTGGGTTTGCAGTTTGCATTGTCCATAAAGGATAAGGCTTTAAAGAGACTGTAAGCGTAATTTCAAGTAAACCTCCATGTAGAGATTACAATCCACTAGTTACAACTGTACCGTTAAAAGCTTTGTCGTCAAGTATGAATTAGTGCAACTTGCGCATTTGTACTACAAGAAAACATGTAGAAATTATTAAGATTACACTCTTGTGAGCATTGAAAACGACGACGACCTGAAACTAGGGCTGACACGTTCCCATTTTTTCCAGTTGTTTCGTTACTTGGTTCCAACCAATAAAAATAAATTTTAGGTAGCCGTTAGTTTTAAAGGTAAGAACGGAACGTTCGTTTTGTTCATTTTGTTAACGGTATTTTCCTTTTTTTAAGTAACCGTTAGTTAACTATCTCAATTTTGGCGTTAACGGTAGATGTTTTCAATTAAAAAAATTTGTAGCATTAACCTAACGGTTTGCCAAACTCTAAAAATGTCCAAAAAATCGTTAACGGTTTATCAAATTGCACAAGCCGTTATCAAATTAAAAAAACATCTTTAAAAGTACAGGGTGTCCCACGAAACATGACAGTATGCAGAACGACTTGAATGTCGTCTTGATTTGCTGCGTTTATTTGTCAACCTAATTTTAGAAGTAAATTTCTAGAGATAATAATCACAAAATTTCCCTTGTCCTGCCATTTCCAAAATGTGGTCTGCCTTTTTTGTGCTTTCAATATTGCCCGAGATATGAAGAATTTCGTTCAGATTTCGACAATTTTGCTTTTATTTAACAAAATTGAAATCTGAACCAAACTCTTTATACCTCCGGTAATATTGAAAGCACAACAAACGCAGACCACTTTTTGGAAATGCCAGGGCTAGTAGAATTATGTGATAATTGTTTCAATAATCATACATGTTAAAGTAGATAGAAGACTAAATGTCACAAATAAATTCAAATACCAAAGACGACTTTCAAGTCGTCTTGCTATTGTCATTTTTCGTGGGACACCCTGTATCACCATATTTTTAAGTTACATGCAATTTTAGCAGACAAAAATCATATATCCGTTTTGTTTTTGTTTTCGACCGTTATTTTTTTTTTAAACCCATTCCGTTTCGTTAATGATTTAAAAATTAACGGTTTTTGCTGTCCGTTAACGGACTCTTCTTCCGTTATTTTTAGAAAACCTCCGTTTCGTAACGGAACTTTTCCCAGCCCTACCTGAAGCCAATAAAACCAATTGAATGATTAGGCCCCTCCCCTGTATACGCCTTAAATAATACTTACTAATTGCATTCTTGTTCTCCTTGAAGAAATGTTCGTATTCGTAGAAACAGATTGTGAGGAAATCAAACAGATCTCTGAATTCACAAAATAGAAAATAATTTCAAAATTTCCAGATTTTTTAAATTTCAAAAGTGTACGGAGAAAATTTCATCCTTGAATTACTGCTTGTTTAATACCTATTATTATTCCATTTCTTTAAATAATATTTCTAATGTTTCGTTTCATTTTTATGTGGATCCGGATCCTGGAACCGTCCCATGTGTGGGTCCATTTAAGGTTTTGCTCTGTTTTTTAACAAAAATCAAATTGTTTTGGTTCAGTTGGATTTTAAACTACAGGGTGTCCCACATCATATTAGATCGTCAATTGGTCTAAATTACGATTCTTGGGACTATTCAGAAAATTAAATAAGAATAAATCATTTTGAAAAATTGAAAGCGGCTAATATAAGAATTTTCTTTTGAAAAAGTTTGTCCGTTGGATGTTGAACTATGATGATTTGTTAACTTGATTAAATTATATTAAACGTTGGATTCGAATATCGTCTTCAATAATTTCTTATTTTTCCTGATATTTATATTGTCTGAGACAGCACTGCACAATTAAAAATGTATTATTTCCAATTTTGTTTTAACTTTGAGGTATCATGTGTTTGTTTAATTATTGAAAATTTTTTCCTTTTTATCTTAACATTAATAAATAATGATTTGGGGTTCTCTAAACAGTATAACTTGCTTGTTAAAGTGTTTGTTTAAAACATATATCTATGTAAAATTATGTAATTTAATGATAAATATACATATATCTATCTATCTACAGTGAAACCCTTAAGAACGAATACATCGGAAGAATCTATCAAATGTCGTCTTGACAATTTTTATTACGTAAATTTCAGTATTTGAGAAAATAAATAAATAGCCATGAATATGCGGGAACAGTTATAACAAGCTCCATACAATCATTTAATTAAAAAAAAACTAAATATCTGCAACATTCTATTATCAGAAAGTGAAGAATACGACATTTGATGAATTCTTTCGATGTATTCGTTATTAAGAGTTTCACTGTATCTAACTTGTCTACTTCTGTGAGATGAAAAAACAACAATATCTTCTTCATTGCTGCTCAGAATAAAATTATTTAGAGGGTAAAGACGTTGTGAATTGGGCATGCCTCCGTCTTTGTACGGAAGGTTACTTATAAATACGTCTACAGTTGCATTACTAACATTTTGTTTAAAAATTAATTCTGATTAAAAAAGCATATAACACATAATTCCCTGAAGTATCCTGTGAGTTCAGTGTTCAGGTCAATCACGTCCTAAAAGAGAGACATATAAATTTATAAAATTCAAGTTCCATAAAAATGTGTTTTTTTTCTAAAAAAAATCCGCGAAAGGAAACCTGCAAAATCATGAAATTGTGTCTAAGAATGTGGTATAAAAATTCTCTTAAAATTTAATGAAGTTACTGAAAACTTACACATGGATTTTTTTAGCCAACAGGTTTAGAAATATCTAATTAAAAAATAATTTATTTGTGTAATAATAAAAAAACTAAGTTTGGCAGATATATGGGAAGGGTTACTCACAAAGGATGAGAATTCAAAGACGATTGTAAGAAAATTCTTGTGCGTTTATTCTCCAGTAATGGTTCCCTGCAATTGTAATTTTTTTTTTCATTCTTTGTAAAATAATTACTTTTGCCATTTGAAAAGATGCAAGTCCTCTTATAAGAGTTTTCTTTTGTGGGTAACCCTGTGTGTTGCTTCTTGCATTTAATTCCACTACTAAAAAGTAGTTTTGAGGACCCTCCACTACCAATTCACAACGGCACTTTTTAATCTGCTGTCTGATCAAAAATGTGGAAACTTTGGTCATTTCCCGAGATTTGCAATTCTCAAAATTTTACTCGGTTTTTTTCTGAAAGCAAGAAATTAACGATCGAAAATAATCAATATGTATTAAGAAGAACAGAAATAACTCAACCATTTTCTCTCAGACAGAGTGTAGAAGGGTACAGTTGAGCCCCCTCTATCAATAGTGGGTAACTAGGATATTACTTGTACCGTAACTTTAATGACAAAATTTACCTTTAGGTAGTGATTTGCGCCTGTACTTATCTCAATCTTTCTGTTTAACGAATTCAGCTTCTGTTAACCAAACATGCTTTCATTTGACTTTTGAAATCCGACTTTCATAAATCATAATGCTGAAGAAAATATGAAAAAATACTTATTTCCAGAACAATGCATAAGCTGAGAAATGCTCTGATTTTCATGCGACTAATTTTCAAAATATTGGTTTGAACAAAATTAAGAATGTTTCCTTCTGCAATATATTGATTCTAGATTTAACATTACAGCACAATCCATTCCTCCACACCCATTGTTGGTCCTGATAAACAAATACAGTGAAACCTAGAAAACTTTGGAAGATAAGTCGTATTTACTTAATAATGTCGAATACATAGAATTTGCAATTATCGCAACTGATATGTCTCAAAAACTGTTCAGAAATAAGAGTTTTGTGTAAAGTTTCAGTGATCTTGGTTGCCTGATCTTAATATCCAATGTGTGCACTTTTAAATTCTCACAATAGATACATGATCTCTCAGTTGATATTATCCCTGCAAAGTAAGACTACATATGTGGTATTAAAGAGGAATTAAATGAATCCATAGGTCTGCAGAATATTGTGATCAATATGGTGATTCCGACATTTAAGAAGTCCACATTAGATATCGATATTAAACGTTTGAGATTAACAATCTTCACAAAAAAGTTTCAATGACACTTTTTTTAACAGTTCACTTACATTTAGAAACTACAAAATTCTTAAAAAGTGAAATTTTATCATTGAAAGAAAATAAAAAAAAAACAAGGAAAATTACACTGTTTTGGGGTTTTCGTTATTTTATTCCACTTTAATATAGCTCTATGCATTAACACGGGTTGTTTTCTTTTATTTCTTTTATTTATTAGCATTTTGGCATAACCATTTGTATAAATAATATGTATGTTATTATTATTATCGTTATGTTCCCCGCAAACAAATTATATCTCCGTCTTTGCCATCGGAACATTTAGTCGGTAAATGTTTCCTTTTATTATTATTATTATTATTATTATTATTATTATTATTATTATTATTATTATTATTATTATTATTATTATTATTATTATTATTATTATTATTATCATTATTTTTATTATTATTATTATTATTATTATAATTATAATTATATTGTTATTATTATTAAACAAATATAAGTTTTTATACCTCATTGTCATCCCTGATTTCCATATTGTAGTTTAAATTATTGTTCATGTTGTTATCTTCCATAACTGCGTCACTATAGTTATTTATTACGCATCTATTGCGTCATGAATAAGAGCGTATCAGCTGTTCACTGCGTACAAAATATCCTGACAGCGCAACGTACAGAATAATACTACGCAAAAAAGAATGAAACAGCCTGAGAGCTGTCAAAAAAGTACGAGGTCGGATTTCAATACTGCGTCCGAGGAAAACAATTATTAAACTTGTAAATAGATTTTTTTCAAAATTTTAACGGTTAAAAAGTCTATTTTAAATCGACTTTTACATTCCCCCAATGCCCAAATGCTTATAAATGGTAAGTCCAGATCGATACAAGGCCAAGTGGCAGGCTGCTGTGGGATAGGCACACATAAACCTTTCCGTTGCACTGATATATTTCTATGCACTGTAAACCTTTTAGAATAATGACATTTTGCAACTATCAAAATTTGCAAATTTTTGCACAGAAGAGCCTGTAGCAATTCTTAAGAAAGCCTTAAATTATTGCAATAAAATTTGCACCAAATATGTCTCATTGAAGTAGAGATATAACTTATTATACATGGCGGTGTTAATTTATGCCTGAACTAGATATTTATACTCCATCCATATGCCTTTATTATCAATAATTTTAGCCCTTAAAGGGGATTGACTGTAATTTAAAGTTACCCTCCAAGAAAATATGTCAATGAAAGATTCACAACGGTACCCTTGAAACTGTTATCTGCACTGTAATGTATAGGATACTGTCATTTTTCTAGAGTTTAAATTCTTAATTCTAATAGTTTCTTTACTTTCTTTCCTGCAGAAGATATGCGCAAGTCACTTTGTAAATAAACCACAATTGAAAATATTCAGTTTTCAATATCATAAACATTGCTATCTAATTCATATTTGGTAAGACAAAGCTTTTAAGGGTACTGTTGTAAATTGGACAATGCCATCTTTGCAAGGAGGGCCACTTAAGATTGCGATTACAGCCCCTTTAAACGTTGTTTCCGTGCTACCAATTTTCTACAGTGAAACCCATAATAACGAATACATCGGAAGAATTTATCAAATGTCGTCTTGACAATTTTTCAATGAGTTTTATACTATATTACGTAAATTTCAGTATTTGTAAAAATAAATAAATAGCCATGAATATAATCATATAATCATATAATTAAAAAACTAAATATCTTCAACATTCCATTATCAGAAAGTGAAGAATACGAAATTTGATGAATTCTTTCGATGTATTCGTTATTAAGGGTTTCACTGTAAAAGAAATAAAAATATCGCAAATTTTCCCGTTTTAGTTGTGGAATTCAAAACATTTCAAAAGTTTTAATCTTTTACCATCCATTAACCTTTCCTGAGTTTATATGAACATCAAACTTGGATCCGAATCTGTTAAGACAATTTGACGTTTATTGGATACAAAAAAACATTTATAATAAATACATAATAAAAATACAGAAATAAAGTTTTTTTCTCTGTTTATGTTTATAATTAGTTTATATGTTTGGTAACTTTATTATGAAAGTGTACAATGTACATACAATACAATGTACAATGTTCATAACTTTATATATTTAGAAGTGTACAATGTACATAATACCCAAAACTAAATTTAGTTTTTTTCCAAGTTTAAAATCTTAAAATGTAGCGATGAATAATAAAAGAACCTTTTAATTGTAAATGCAATTAAAAAATTATATATACTATTACTTAAATAAAACTTAGATAAAACGAAGTTGCTAAGCCGTTCCAATAATTCAACTTCTAGGCAATAGAGTATGCCATGATGAAACTGTTTTTTAAACTGAAAATTTTAGAAAAGGATAATATTGAGGGCTGGAAATAATAACATATATTTGTATACTTTTCACATTTAAGGGACTGTGAGGGAAAAATGAAAGGTATAGTCCGTATTACGTCACCAGAACTTCAGCCAATGGCAGTGCAGTATACTGGTCACGTGATACAGACGGAAATCTAAACCGGCATAATCTGATCAATAATGATATTCAACGTATCTCTGGCTTGCCAAGTGTTTAGTTCTGATCATTTGTCCATTATTTCTGAAGCAAGAAATGCGTAAGTCACTTTTGCAGTGAAACCACAAATAAAGGTAAACAGAACTATCAAATAAAAAAACAATATTTTATTTCTAATTTTTTCAAAAAAAAAATATCAAATACAATCTTTATAATAGGAAGACGAATTCTAGACTCAAGTTTTGTTTTAAAAAGTCAATGTTCAAGGACCATTTATCTTTAAAATTTGGTGTGAAAGTATTTCTAAAACCTGTTCGTTTTTAAACATGAAATACATTTTAAATGTTGCTTTAATGTTGTCTTACTATTACACAAATTTCAGGTTCTTTCGAGTATTTTACACATTTTCTTTGTGTAAGGAGCGGAAAATATAAGACGACATTTGTCTAGTTCATACAGAGGATCTTCCATGAAACATGAGAGTAGCACGATGACTTCCTGAAGTCCTGCAATTACTCCAACTGAGGTAGTCCTCTTTAGACAAACAGATGAGGTAGAAGACGCTGCTCATAAACTGAGGTATAAGGTTTTTAATGGCATTTGTCTCTCTGCGCGTAAATTTCAGTATTTGAGAAAATAAATAAATAGCCATGAATATGCGGGAACAGTTATAAAGAGTTCCATACAATAATCTTATAAAAAAAAAACTAAATATCTGCAACATTCTATTATCAGAAAGTGAAGAATACGACATTTGATNTGACCCTTGAAAAGCTTTTTTTTAAATGAATAAGAAATAAGATCATATCATTTTCATATTGCAAAGTCAAAGTAATAAATGATTACTTGACTCTGTTAGTTAAGCAGTACTCCCTTAAAAGCTCAAATACACTTGTTAAAAAGGTTAGCCTTTATAGTGTGCATTGACAATGTAATAAAAACAACCATATACCACTGGAAAACCAAACCAAACATTTTTTTAAAATCATTAAAAACCCCCCAAAAAAATCCTGGTTAAAGGGCCTGGGTAAGTCAACTAACACATGTGGATGAAATTCAATATATATAATAAAACAAGACATCATATATATGTTGTGGTGTATAGCCGACCAAGCTGCTGGACTGATTGGACTGGATTTTTTTTTGTGGGCACTCATAGGTGGCTGGGGGGTGTTATAGGCTATACAAAATTAAAATTTATTTTATTTTTACTAGAGATATGACAACCCAAAGTTGTCAAAATCTGAAGGAAACTCTTCCTTTTTCCGGTCATATTGAAAGCACAAAATAGTCATTCCACATTTTGGAAATGCCAAGACTTTTGTGATTATTAAATTTAGAATTTTAAAATCAGATCGTGATCGTTCATTGATCTTTATGCAATGGTTGATCTTTTAAAAATGTTTATTAATAACAGTGGTCGATTTATCATTCTTTGATATTTTACGTGATCATTAATCATTAATTTTTAACAATAGTTGAACATTTTCAATGGTTGATCTTTCACATATTGAACTTGAACAATTGTCTATTTTTAACAATTGGTGATCTTATAATGGTTAATTATTACAATGGTAGATCTTTAACAATGGTTGATTTTTAGTAATTGGTGATCTTTCACGGTGGTTGATCATTAACAAATGTTTTTCATTAACAAATTAGCAATATTTGATCATAACAATAGTTGATCTTTAACAATGCGTATTCTCTAACAATGGTTGATCTTTAGCAATGACTGATCTTTAACAATGGTATGATTTTTAGTAATTGGTGATCTTACACGATGGTTGATCATTAACAACTGTTAACAATGGTAAATAATTAGCAATATTTGATCATAAAAATAGTTAATCTTTAACAATGCTTTTTCTTTAATAATGGTTGATATTTAACAATGGTTGATCTTTTAAAATGATTGATCTTTAACACTGGTTGATCGTTAAAAATGGATGATCTTGAAAAATGGTTGATTTTTAACAATGGTAGATTTTTTAACAATGGTTGATCTTTAACTATTGTTTATCGTTAACAATATCTTTCACATGCACTGGTTGATCTTGAACAATGGTAGATTTTTAACAATTGGTTAATCATGACAATTGTTACACAAAGATCACTAATTGTTACAAATCAATCATTGTTAATGATCAAGTACTATTATAAAATATCAACCAATGACAAATATCAACCATTGTTATCAATTCAACATTTGTGAAAGATTAACTGTTGTGAAAGATCAACCATTATATAAACATTACCAATTTTTATCAATTAACTATTTTTAAAAATCAACCAATGAAAATAATTAATCATAGTTTAAGAGCAGTTTGACACCAATATTTGTTAACAGTAAATAAAAATTTCAATGGAACGATTTGGTAAGAATAAACGATTACAGAACATACTAAAGAACGATCAGGATCTGTTTTGAAAATTCTAAAAAGTCCCCCTCCCCCCCCATCGTGATAGGGTTAAATCATGCAAACGTAATTTTAAATTTCATTTCAAGCTCGATTCACAACGGTACCTGTCAAACCTGTACATTATGCAACAATTTCAGGAAATGTCGCTTTTTCTCTTAAAACTCTTAAATATCTATAATTTATAATTATAATCAGAGACCAAGGTGTTGTGATACTTCAAAGCCGATCCAGTCTTGGTTTCCATGCACTCCTAAAGTGAATGCAATTTATTGAAAATATGCTTTTTTCAATTTAATGAATTCGTAACGCACGCTTGAACCGTATCTACGCAATTATCTCCGTCATTCGGTATTTTCACGCAATTTTTAATACGCGTTCATATGAGACTATGATACGGGGGCAAATTTATTGCGTAAAAGTAAATGTTTAATTAGGTGTATTGTATAAATCATTCTTAAATTCCATGGATTTGAATTTAAATTTGACAAAAAAAAATAAAAAATTAATTGATTTGAATCTATGAGAATGATGTTAAAAGGAAGGAAGGATACCGGCGTTTATTTATTATTTATATCTATATAATAAAACAAGACATTCATAAATATGTTCCCTCTGGCCGGCCAAACGACTGGACCAAGTGGGCTGAATTCTTTTGTGGACACTCATGGGTAGCCGGGGCGGGGGATAAGCAAAAAAATTAAATTTTTTATTTTTTTTTTCAAATCATTAATTTTATTTTTTTAATTTCTATTCCTGATATACATTATCTCAATTCACAGAGAAATAATTTATGGCATTTATTTATTCACATAATTTAAAATTTATGATTCATGAAACAATATTTGCAAAGTAACATCTAGTCTGGTCTGCCACTTCTATAATCTTTCTATCTTTTTGTTCTTTCAAAATTCCTGGTGATATGTTTGGTTTTTTCAGAATAAGACAATTTTGGTCTTATTTAAAATATTTAAATCTGGATGAAATATTCCAAATAAGTGTAGGGGTCATATGAAGTCTTATCTAGCTTACATCATTTACTAAATTACAAGATTGAAGTTTGAAGATTTCTAATTATATATTATTTAATACATTTCATATTTTAATGCTTTTACTTAAATATGTTTAAATTCAAGATTTGCTCAAATCTGAAATATTTTTAGCACAATTCTGAAGAGCTTCCTTGTAATTAGCTAAGATGTCCAAGAATCCCTCTTTAAATTTGCACGTATTTAGATAATTGTCAAGAAGGAAATGCTTATATTTGTTAAATTAAACAAATTATGAACAATATTAAACAGTATTTTATAAAGTATTTCTATTTAAACCTTTAATTATCGTTTTTAGCGTTCTAAACTCTAGATACGGTTTGTGCTTAATGTCCTGTGTAAGCCACGCGTTTAAATCCCCTCCGGTCCCCCCTACTCGTCTCACCGCCTCCCCCGTGGTATGTTGCGTTCATCTCTCCAGCAGTCGTACAGCGGTTATTGTGGAGTAGAGACGGTACCGTGCTCAGCTCCCCCTGTCTTCTATGCTTGAGTGAAACAATGTTTAAATGGAAAGCTTCCAGAATGGGGAAAAAGGATAAAAGTGAAAAATATTCAGAAAATAAAATATTTGCAAAAAATTCCAAAAAAGAGAATACCATCAATAACAATGAAGGGTGAGATACATTTAAAAAATTAATAAATAATGGATATCATATTTACATAAATACATTGCTTGAATTAAACTGCAAAATACTCAACCTTAAAGAGACTTAATTTCACGTGATCCTCCAGTTACTAGATTGGCATGTCTGAATTACAACGATGCCCTTAAAAGCTGTGCATAAGCTACTTTTAAATTTCTTGAGACAGAAACAATGGAGAACATTGTGAGAATTAAATACTTTTCAAGTTAGAAAAACCACAATAGCTTTTTCATATTATTGATCAAATATTAGGCTACCAATGTACCATTTGAACTTGAAATACACCTCTTTACTTGGAGGGTCACATGAAATTACAATGACAGTATAGAATTTGAATTGGACAATTTTGTAAAGGGACCGGTCATATATATGTCTTATAAGAATGGAAAAAAATTGGAACAAATCCACAAATGATATGAATTCTATACATGAAGGGTAATAGGAGGTTAAATCATTAACGACATTGTATAATAAATTAATTAATTAACATCAACCTTCACTCTGTAGAAATCTAGGACGAGCCCTCCTCAAAAGTGCCAATTAAGATTACGTTGTTAAGCCCCTTAACTTATTTAGATAGATGTCATATGTATCTATTTAGATCATTTACTCTAATATTAAAATTGGTAACTAGACACTAGACACTATAGACACTATTTACACTAGACACCATTTACACTAGACACCATTTACACTAGACACCATTTACACTAGACAACATTTACACTAGACATCATTTACACTAGACTCCATTTACACTAACAACTATTTACACTAGACAGTAGACACCATTTACATATTTAAAGAGAAACAACGAAAACCTTTTATAGACAATGGAGGACCATTAATAATTCTACCCCAGTCTTCACTTTTATTTTAGTTTTGTTTTAAGATTAGCATAATTCAGTGTATTTCATAGAGCTGTAAAATAGAAAGACGATTTTTAAACAATCTTCTGTGCATTTGTTTTTGTTATAAAGCAAATCGTTTTACAAGTTGTCTGAAAATTAACTCTTAAAATGAAATTGGTCTGTGTACACTGCACAATTGATGTGTTTCATGTTCATTGACCTTTTTAAAATCCTAACTTGAGGCTTACAGTCAGCCGTCTTCTTACTCTACATTTTTCTGGGTCTCATTGTATATTTGATGGTTTCTCTAATTGCTAAGATCAGTTTTGATCTAAATTTTGAAATGTCATCATCCATTGATTAGAAACCACACCCTTGTATGACATATTTTGCAATTTAAGTTTAACCTAACATAACCAGAGGCTGAATTTAAAGAATTTGAGCCGCAGCATAAATTTGAGACGCGGCTCAAATATGGTTGGTTCTGGTTTGTTCCATTTAAAATTGTATTCAATGTTTTAAGATTTCAGCCGGCGCTCAAGTGAAACCGGTTTTTGGCGGATTTGAGACGCGGCTCAAATTCATTAAATTCGGAATCTGGCTTCTAGAGCATTTTTCCCTATTTTCTTATAATAATTTTAGCTTTTAAATTGCAACCCTTTATTTTTACCTTTAAAGAATAACAATGCATGTAAATATCGCGTAAGTGAAGAAATGATCGCAAACATTGTTTATAGAATCTAATTCTTCACTCTTGAAAATCTTTTCAAAGTTTTAGTGTCAAATATAATTTTAACAGATCTTATGAAACTTTGATAAAATCTGATAAAAACTGTTCAACCAGCATCATTAATGGTTCTTATCCAACTAAAACAAACTAGAAAAAAATAGCAAAGTTTTTTTTTTAATAATCTTTAAGCATCTTTTCATTGTTTGAATGTATAGCCGCATCTTTCCCAAAAATCAAGTTGTAAATTTCCACACAAAATAATATTTGCATGCTCTTTCTGAAGTCTTCATACATATATATCAAGGCGTACTATAAAACAGTGAGAACCAGAAAACTCTAGAAGAAGGAGGAGGACTTATAGAATCAAGTTATTCCTTTGAACATGTTGTTTTCCTAATTCACAGTTTTATTGGTTCTCACTGTACAGTGAAATTTTTAGTTGATTTTTTTATGTTCTTAAATGAAAACCTCTTGCATGTCGTAATCGTAATGCAGAGTGAACACTGAACTCTGAAAACATAAAGGAATTGTCCGCTAAATTTAAACTTATCTTTCACTGAAAAAAGAGTTTAATTTTTAAGTCATAACTTTGACTCTTATAGTCTGACAGAAGAAAAAAACATGTTCTTGTTGATATATCTAAAAATTGATAATTTTCATCTGTGGTTTTTATTAAAATAGTGACTTGTCTATTCATGTTACAGAAATAAATGAATTAAACATTTTTTAGTCAGAAAAACGACGATATCCTTTTCATCGTTAATCCGATAAATTAAGGGAGAAGAAAACTATTGTAAATTGGTCATGTAACACTTTAAAGGGAGTGTTCGCGAAAAATAAAAGGGGGTACAGGCTTACGGCAAAAAATTAGCCCCTTTGATCGCTACTAATCTTACTTTTATAAATCTGTTGCGTCTATAAGGAGAAATTTGTTAAAAACAACTCATGCTGAAGATCGTTAGCGTCCATACAAATCCAGAAAGTTGCAACATTCAACTTGGATCGCAAAAAAAAATCATTGTAATTCCAAACAAATTATTTAGATATTATTCGATTATTTTTCGACGCATTCGTATGTAGTTAATATTACGCATTTAAAAAAAATTAAATAATATTTCGCTGATGAGGATTTTCGAACATTCCTGGAAAATATGAAAATCATTAACAAAAATCTTCGAACAGGAATAAATGTTTTCAAAAGTGACTATCAGATTATAAAAAAATAAAAATAAATATTATGAAATATGAACTATTTACGAAAGCGTCGAAATATTATAGATGATTTTTGGTTGTAATATATAAATGATTTGTGTGGAAATAAACTGATTCTTTTACGATCCAAGTTGAACGTTGCAACTTTCTGAATTTTTATGGACGCTACGTTCTTCGGTATGAGTCGTTTTTAAAAATTTTCTCCTGATAGACGCAACAAATAGGAGTAAGATTAGTAGTGATCAAAAGCGCTTATTGTTCTAGGTAAGTCTATACCCCCTTTCATTTTTTGCGAACACTCCCTTTAAAAATTACGCCAGCAGTTTCTGGTTTTATTTTTACGACAGGCCTTCTCCTTTACTAGATAATTGCAAATATTTCATTTAGATATTTTATTTAGTTTAACGTGCAAAATATTTAATTTAGTTTAACGTGCAAAATATTTTATTTAGTTTAACGTTCAAAGTTCCTAATGGAGTTTATTTTTCAGTCCATTTAATCGCTTTGCAGATTTGTTTATTTGGCTATATTCATGCTTTCAAATTACCTGCCCCCCCTATTCATATTTTTACAACCCTCATTCCCCCTTCCATTATATATTTTTACATTTTCCCACACCCCTTTTAGTTTAATCTGACCCTACATGATGACCTTTTCCTATTGTGGCCAACCAATATGTATTACAATTGCAAATAAACAGGAATGCATATATGTAAATGTAATTACAAAAGTAAAATTGATCGCCAATGTTATTTTTTAAACATAAAATACATGGTTTTAAAAAAGACTAAAATGGTTGAGGGGAGAAAATTCCCCACCATGTCACAATTGAACCCCCCCCCCCTTCAAAGAAAAATTTAAAACACATATCCCGATCGATAGAAGTTAGTTTGACTAGGATCGACAGGAAATCCGTTTGTTTACTTTGTTTTAATTTTGTTTTTAAATTTGTTTTTCTACATTGTAACCCAAGATATCATTTCCGGGAAACCACATAGAGGGGTGGTCAGCTTATTTACATGGGAAAGGAACTGATTAATTTTCTAGTCCCTGTTCATTTTCAACCTGATGGTGTGATCCTTCGATATTTAAAAATAGCTCTACGTGACATGAAAATGGAAAGGTACAAGGCTTAGAAAATTAGAATTGGAGTTATTAGTTTCTTTATATTATTTAATAGCATTTACAAGAACCATGCTTATTTAAACTTTATATTTTCTGTTTTTTCTTCTTTCCGCTAGTATTTTTAGTATTTTCAAACCGTTTTTAGAATTAGAATATCTTTAGGTTATATAGACTATCTCTAGGATTTCGGAGGCATAGGAGGGAATATCTTTAGTACAATTTGGGACTATATTTAGAATTTTGGGACTATTTATAGTATAAAGGGACCATCTTATGACTTTGGGACTACAAAGTTTTAGTATATTTGGGAATTACTATTCTTTGGACTCTTTGTAGACTGTAGTATATTGGTATAAGTATAAGAAAGATGCGTGCAGAGAATCAGTTTAAAATTACCTATTTTCAGATCAAAGCAGTCCCCGCCCCATCTGCGGTTTCCTGGCCCGCCCACTCACCCGCACCACCTGGAGCCGGTCCCTCCCACCCCTCCTCATCATCCAGAGCACAGGGTTCAACCCCTACCCAGAGAGAGAACCCCTTTCAATTCATCAGACTACCCGGAGAATGAGATCCTCGCTACAGATTCACTGTATGGAAGCAGTCTAGAGATACCAAACCTGGGATATGCTTTCAAAACCAAACAATCCAATAGCCAAACCAAACAAGTCAACAAGCAAGCCAAACAAGTCAATCATCAAACCTTCTCCTTCGGTAGAAACACCACAGCACCATCTGGTTTAAGACAATGTCAAAACAACAAATATTTTTCAATCAAAGGAACGGAGAAATTAATTTCCGACATGCATTTGTGAATTTAATCACAATTGACACAAAAGTTCATATGTATTACTTTGTATACGTGACTTCAAGTGACACTAAATTTAAAATAGTAATGTTTGATTCAAAAGGGTAACCTTTATACCTATTGCTTAGTAAAAATCTGATAATTTCATGCATTGTCTCAGTATTGTAATATAAATCTGCAAACCGTTTTAGTAGATAAACTACAATCGAAAATAATCAATTTTTAGCAATCTTCCATGATTTGGATAAGGTTTCAGACACATTGTTCTGAATCCGGCACAACACTCTTTACACTTGAAATTATGTTTTTAGTACCTTTTCCTTTGTCCAGTGTAAGAACCTGAAAAGTGTTGAATAAGAAGTTATAGAACTAATCAAAAGTATTTATTGTTCTTACAAATCAGACATATTAAATCAGTTATTAAATGATTCTGCTGAAAATTTTAGAATGTGATATCCTTAATCCCGATCTGTTAATTAATCTGGAGATTAAATTCATGAGGAAAACAAGAAATATTTAATCTGGAGATTAAGAAAAAGAGTGTTTCAAGCATTAATCCCGATATCCACCATTCTAAAGTTCCCAGCTCTGTTTACACTGCACAATTGCTGTGTCTCATGTTCTATAGACTTTTTAAAGTTATAATTTGAGTCTCAAAGACATTTTCCTATTCCACAGTTTTCTTGTTCTCACTGTACACTTTTGTTCAATAAAACATAGTTTCCCGGATTTAGGAGTGGACAATGTAGAAAATCTACGAAACCTTTCTGGTCTACGGTACAATGTTGGAGGAGCGAATCCGAGAAACGAGAAATATTTCTCAGTGGATTCTAGCTTTCTCAACAATCCTGGGGTTAGAGATAGACTACGGGAAACTGATGCAAGATCAAGGAATGATCTCTACTACTGTCAGGATCGGAGTTTGGATCAAAACTTGATAAACAATTCATCTTCTAAACCGTTTCTTCAAGCCAACCTTAATCTACAATCATCGAATTTAAAGCAACAGAATAATAATTATCCAGGTTAATATATTTTCTTTTTTTTTGTTAACAAATCTAGTATTTAATATTCTAAAAGGAATTGTAGATGACATTTTAAGTGACCCTTCCTCGTGTTTGTAGATTGTCACTTCCGATTCACAACAGTGCGGTAAATTTCTATCTTGAGTTTTGGCCGTTTTTAAATATCCTTCATTCTCTTCGCAACATAAATTTGCAAGTCACGTTAATAGAGATGCAACAATTGAAAACAATTTCACCTAAAAAACAAGGATATCACATTTATTCTTGGTTAAGCAAAGATTTATTGAAAGTCATTTTGAGAGAGAAACCACAATTGAAAGTAATGCTAGAAAAACAAGAATATCTCATTCTTTTTAATCAAGCAAAGGATGCCACAAAGATAGATAAACAAAATAAAAAACTATGCTAGTTAAACAACGATATCTTCTTATTCATTCTTGATCTTGGGAGTCACATAGATAGATTTTAAACAATACTTGACAAACAATTATTTCTCATTAATTCTTGATCAAGTTTGTTGTGAATTGGAATTATTCACCTCTGTCCTCCATGAACAGTATGATCAATAGAAATTACGTTTAGAGTCCATTTAATTGTTTAGGTTTAGAAGAATGGAACACACAACTCCAGGCTTACACTGCCTGGGTCAACTCACAGCTCAGGAAGTATCCAGGAGCAAGATTAGTTCAGGTCAAAATTAAAGGGATCGTCAATGTTTTTTCAGTTGCCCTTTATTTTAAAAGTTTCAAAAAAGATTGAAAACATTTATCTATGAATTGATGATGGAATATTTTATCTAAACATTTCAACTTTCAGACACATGTGTCTTTTTATTTAGAAAACTCCTTTCTATTTTTCACAAATATTAAAATATTGATATTTAAATATTCAGACAAATTAATATTTTAGGATTTGAAATCTGATCTTCGATCTGGGAAAGTGATTGCTCAGTTGCTAAATGTTTTAAGTAAGTATGTATGCCTCACCTACCTGCACTTCCTGACCTAACTGACCTACCAGACCTACTTAAACTCCCTGACTTACATGTCCTGCCTGACCTACCAGACCTACTTAAACTCCCTGACTTACCTGACCTAACTGAACTACCTAAACTCCCTGACCTACCTGACCTACTTGACCTAATTAAACTCCCTGACTTACCTGACCTACCTGACCTACCTAAACTCCCTGACCTACTTAAACTCCCTGACCTACCTGACGTACCTGAATTACCTAAACTCTCTGACTTAGCTGACCTACCTGACCTACCTAAACTCCCTGACTTACCTGACCTTCCCGACCTACCTAAACTTCTTCACTTACCTGATTTACCTGACGAACCTGGCCTACCTGACATACTTGAACTACCTGATTTACCTGACCTACCTGACTTACCTGACCTGCACTTCATGACCTACCTGACCTGCCTGACCTACCTGGCCTACCTAACCTACCTGACCTACCTGACCTACCTGACCAACCTGACCTACCTGACCTACCTGACCTACCTGACCTACCTAACCTACCTGACCTACCTAACCTATCTAATCTACCTGCCTACTATAACCTAACTGACCTACCAGACCTAGTTGACCTACCTCACATCCCTGACCTACCTGAATAACCTGACCTACCTAATCTACCTGACCTACCTGACATACCTGACTTACCTGACCTATCTGACCTACCTGTACCGTCAGGTGGTGAAAGGCTGGAGGGTCTGGATTATGATGATATTAGTGAAGAGGGACTTGAGATGAATATGAAGATTATTCTACAGTTAATGAAAAAGAAGAATATAAATGTAAACAATATTGACGCAAGGTAGAACTTAGAATTCAATAGAATTCATAACTCGAATAAAATTAAAATTGTTTCATCCTAACATCTTTGAAATTCGGTATTTCAAGCTAGAAATTCTAAGTCAAAAGTTTACAAAATCGGGTTGCAACTTGCAAAGCTATTATCATTCGAATATTAAAGATTGTATTTAGTTCCTATTCAAGAGTTTTATTGAAGATTGTATTTAGTTTCTATTCAAGAGTTTTTATAAAGATTGTATTCAGTTCCTATTCAATAGTTTTTATAAAGATTGTATTTAGATTCAAGAGTTTTTAAAGATTGTATTTAGATTCAAGAGTTTTTTTAAGATTGTATTTAGATTTAAGAGTTTTTATAAAAAAACCGCCTTTAAAAAAAGGACAAAACCTTTAAAGAATTAAACACATACTTGCTTTAAACCTAATTATTTGACGCCTAAATTTGTTAAACTTGGTAGTGTTTAGATAAGAACTATTGCAGCAAGCGTTATGAATTATTATTATCATTATTTTTATTACTATTATTATCATGTATACCCAGGGACCTTGTGTCTGGTAACCTGAAGTCTGTGATGAGGTTGATCCTGGGTTTAGCAGCTCATTATAAACCACAAAGTGTTAAACATCATGTGGATCAGGTAAATCAGAATATAATCTAATTAGAAACCATAACCTTGAAATAGCAACCTTGAGGTCGCTTGAACTCGTTTTTCAAAGTGGAAACATGTAATTTAAAGCAATAGAAGTAATATAAAGGTACCCTCCATTTATTATTGGCATGTCCGATTCACAATTCAACAATTTTCATTTCCGGAGACTTTCTGTTTGAGATAGCGCTAGTTCAAAATGTTTGAACCCGATATTCACTGTGAACACTTTTAAATTGAAGTAATAAATTAGAATATTGATCATATTCCTCGAAGAAGATCATTTTTAAATTTTTATATCTCCTTCCTATATTGTTTCTGATTAATCAATCTGCAATTTTAAGCCAAATAGGAAAAATATAAATTTTAAGAGAAAAAAATGTAATCACAAATATAACTTTAAAAATAAATAGAGGGCCACTTGAAATTACGTTTAGAATCCTTCGCTAATTCTCTCATTCTTTGTCCCTGTAAACTCCGGTCAATGTAGTACCGGGCCAATTTTTACGCAACTAGAACAAGCTGTACTGAACAGTACACATACGGGACAGTACACCACATTAATCAGCCCCTTCTATGGATGATAGTGTTGTATGGTACCTCTGTTGTAAAGATACAGATTATTAACTCAAATTTTAATTTAAAGATGTATTTCTAGACGAGTTTAAACACGAGCAGGACGGATGATGCTGAGATGAGAAGTATCCAGGAGAAGGTAGAACCAAGGAGGACGGAGAACATCGAACCCAGCTCTAGGGTTAGCATAGAGACACAAACCATTGGGATTCTCAGATCTGAGAAAACAGGTTCAAAAGACTCGCCACCGTTGTCGATGTCTCCGGATACTTCTGGTTCTATGAACGAAAGTTTTAATCGAGCTGGTTCAGGCCGGAAACTGCCTTTAGTTCCGAGTAAATCAAATACCTTACCATCTAAAAAAACTGAAAAGAAATCTCCGGGAAATGAAGATAAGGAGGTCACTTACCATCCAATGAACAATGGTAAAAGTAAACCAGCGGCTCTAAGATTCTGGGAGACAATGGAGACTGATAAACTGGATTTTAAATACAACACGATACACCGGATGTCCGGAAACCGGCGAATTCTTCCGCAGCCACCGGAGAAATCTCTGAGATCAAAATCCGTGGAACGTGACCACAAAATGGCCGCTCATTCCAGTTTTGAAGAGAGTCCGCGGGAATCTTTTGATACTTCTCCAAGGATGTCCCGAGGATCAACCAGAAGTTCAGGAGGTTCAGGAGAAAGTAATTTCTTTTCACGACCGGGCAAAATCCCCCCAGACGGCGCTAGCTTGCAGGAATTCATCAATTCTATAAATTTAAAAGAAAATTTGAACAAATATTTATCTTTTTTTTCAAAAACTTCTTCTAGAGTCTTGAATTGACGTTGTTATAGAGTGAAGGAAGCGAACTTGAGAATCAAAGAACTGTCGAAGGATTTGGAGATGGGAAAATCCGCGAGTTTGAGGAGAGAAGAGATGGGGAGGGAAGTTCGGACAATAATTCTCCAACAACTAGTTTGATTAAAGGTAAACATTCAATAGTCCTTAGGTCGATTATAATGAATATTGGCTGGGCCGCTAAACTATCTATCGCCGGTTCAAATCCTGAATCACCGATTGAAAGTTAAAGATTCAGTAGGATTGGAATAGATGATTTAGTAGTTGAACTGACGGTAGATAGTTCAGTGACCTTTCCAATCTAATATTTTCGTTCTTTTGATAGCAAAGTGTTTAATATGATTTATGTAAATTAGGGAAACCAAAAATATATGATTGGATGAAAGGTGAACTAGAAACTGGAAGGAAAAAATGGGCGGTTCCTTCCTCCCCCAGCCTTCCCTCCCCTTCCCCCAACCCCTCCTCTTCCCTCCTCTCCCTCAGCACCCCGGCGAAGAATGAGGAGGAACTACCTTATTCTTTCATTGAAGCTGAACTTGCTCATGCTAAACAACAACTGCAAGAGCTCTATAATGTGGTAAGTGTTCACAATATGGTATATATTAATGGGTGAGCTAATTTTGTTCAGGACTTTTGAATTTATTGTTATAAAAGCTGAACCACGATGATTACATGACTAAAACAGTTTATTGGTATAAGGTTGGATATATGCACTACTTTGGTTCAAGTTTCATAAAAATAAAACTTTGTTCTGATAGTCCTCTTTGTATACTTGTTCTTCTCTCTTGGTGATGGCAGCTGCCAGGGGCCTAGGGATTGATTCACTGTCACTGTCAAGTTCCCACCAAATATGCTTGATGTTAAGCTTAAGGGAGTTGAGGTTTGGGATCTCCTCTCAATCAACCTCTGCTTGATGTTAAGCTTCAGGTAGTTGAGGTTTGGGATCTCCTCTCAATCAACCTCTGCTTGATGATTGTCCAAATGTTTTCTATTGGCCAAATATCCGTCAATCCCTAGGCCCCTGGCAGCTACCATCGCCAAGGAAGATGAACAAGTATAAAAGAAGACCATCAGAACAAAATTTAATTTCTTAATAAACTTGAACCAAAGTAGTACATATATCTAACCTTATACCAATAAACTGTTTTAGTCATGTAATCATCGGGGCACAGCTTTTATAAGACAATTTTTAAAAATTTTTGCTCACCATTTCGTAACAAGCATTATTAGTTAATATATCTAAATAGTGCTTAAAAATTAATAATGCCTTAAAATGAATAAGCTTTAAGACCCATATATCTGGCAAAGTGTTAAAGATATAGAACACATGTTTAAAGTGAATCAATATGTATAAATATTACCAACATAGTAGATAGAACACATCATATATGTTAACTTTAACTCATTCCTTCTTATTAATCGCTTGCATACTGCTGTTTTGTTTGTAATCATTCCTAGCTGTTATACCCTAATGAGAGGAGGGGGAGGGGGAGGGTAAGATTGATTGAGTACAAATATTCCCGTGCTAAATTTAGAAAATCTTCTACAAGCATGAAGTTATTTTAAGACTCTATTGAAGAATTCCACTTATGTGATTTTGAATAGCTTTACTCATTCTATTGTTTATTTGAATTCCTTTTGGGGAAAATTGATTATCTATACACATTATATTGTTTATTTGAATTCCTCTTGGGGAAAATTGATTATCTATACACATTCTATTGTTTATTTGAATTCCTTTATGGGAAAATTGATTATCTATACACATTCTATTGTTTATTTGAATTCCTTTATGGGAAAATTTATTAACTATACACATTCCCTTGTTTTAGTTGAATTCCTCTTAGTGAAAATTTATTAACTGTACACATTCCCTTGTTTTAGTTGAATACCCCTAGTGGGGAGTTGATTAACAATAAATTACAACTGGATAGTGGAATATTCTTCAGTATGCATAATCAGGTCTGAAATTATCAAGCAATGAGCATTGAGCATGCTAATTGTATACTTCACAAGTTCACATGCACAAGTATGAAGATGCAACATGCACATTACTCTCCGCTTAAACCATACTTTTGCTATTACTGCAGCATTCATGGACAGCTTATTTCAGGGTGACATTATGATACATATAGCTTTAACTAGAATGCAGCATGCAATGGATTATTTACCATGCATCAGTCAAACTTCAAGGAACCAGTATGCAATTTATAATAGGATGCAGTATTAAGCATGGATATTAATTATCACTTAACAAAATACATAACTGGCTATGAAAGATTCCATGCAAAATATGTTTTTTTTCTGGAATCTTGATTATGAGGAGTGTTTGTGAAAAACCTCGACTCGATCCAAAGGAACTTTAGCTACAGACTTGATCCTCCTTCTCAAGTGGCATGTTTGATTCACAATATGACCCTAAAACTTGTTATCTGAGTCACAATATGGAAGACATCGTTATTTTCTTTAATGAAAATAAATAAATTGAGACAATTTCATTAATTCTCTTTGGAAATTCCGCAATTCACTTTTACAGAGAAAAAACAATTAAAATATCAATTGATATAAAAATTAGGATATCTTTTTCTATCATCTTTTGTTGGACAAAGGTCTGTTGGGCACCGATGTGAATCAGACATGCTACTCTATAAACGGAGGTAGCTTGAAACTACGTCAGTACAGGTCCGAATACTTTTTACATCATAAAGTAATCATATTTTTTTTAAACATGTCAATTTATAAAATTTAGTTTAATTTTAAGATAGCTGTACTGTTTTAAACCCAGGCATTAGTTAAACCACTAAACATGGTTAATTGCTTAATTGCTTGCTACGCGCACTCTAACTGCACAGTGCACAATATACTCGCACATTACTGCATGATATATATGAAATGTATTGTATATATACACACAATTATGTAGTTAACTTTTTACTTACTAACTAAAAAATTCAAGAAAAATTCCATGTTCATGTTCATGTTTATTTTCATCGTCATGTTCAAGTTCATGTTCAAGTTCTTGTTCATGTTCATGTTCATGTTCATGTTCATGTTCATGTTCATGTTCATGTTCATGTTCATGTTCATGTTCATGTTCATGTTCATGTTCATGTTGGGACTGTATGCGTAGTTTAAGGGACTGTACGCGTAGTTTAAGGGACTGTATGCGTAGTTTAAGGGACTGTACGCGTAGTTTAAGGGACTGTACGCGTAGTTTAAGGGACTGTACGCGTAGTTTAAGGGACTGTATGCCTAGTTTAAGGGACTGTACGCGTAGTTTAAGGGACTGTACGCGTAGTTTAAGGAACTGTACGCGTAGTTTCAAGTGACTCAACATATAAAGATGGCAATGCCCGAATCAAAATGGCATCATTGAAACCTTTGTCTGAACAAAAATGTGGAAGATATTGTCGTTAGTGTTTGAAATCTTTAAATCGAATAATTCCTGTATAGTTTAACTTTTTAAGGAAACCCACAATTGAAATTAATCAGTTTTCAAAGTTATAAACTTTATTATTCAAGGGGATCATTGTGAATTGAACATTGCAATCTTTTTTCTAGAGGGCCACTTGAAATTACGCTTTCATGTCCCTTTAAAGGGTGCCTAATTTTGATTCTGTTGCACAAACTAAGTTATATATCTGTTCAGGCTGTATTTGACCGGCCTGGCTATTACAGGTTTTATACTAAGAATATGGATAAAGAATACGGAATGGTTAAGGAGGAGGTAAGATATTTAACTTTATATTCCTTATCTTTCTCATCTTTTCGTATGTTAAAGGCCTAGGTACATGCTGCCTAGACCCCTCTCCCCTCCATCTGTATCTGTATCTGTATCTGTATCTGTATCTGTATCTACATCTGTATCTGCAACTGTATCTGTATCTGTATCTGTATCTGTATCTACATCTGCATCTGCAACTGTATCTGCAACTGTATCTGTATCTGTATCTGTATCTGTATCTGTATCTGTATAGCTGTATCTGTATCTGTATCTATATCTGTATCTGTATCTGTTTCTGTATCTGTATCTGTATCTTTATCTGTATCCAGGTTTGACCGAACGGATACCGGTCACCACATTCTTGACACCCTGGAGCAGTGCTTATCTGTATTGTCGGAGCAATCTGAACTGAGCCGAACCAAAACAAACAAACAAACCTCAAACAATACGAAGGTGTCTTATTTATACGAAAATTAAAATTATCATTACTTTTTTTGATTATTTTATTGTGTTGATTATTTTATCATTTTTTAATATTTTGATTTTATTTTATTTAGGTTATTTACTTTATGCCGCGCAGTCCAACTCCATTCCTTACAAGTATTTCTAAACCTATCAATTCAGTGTCACTTAAAGATTTTAAGGTACGTAATGTAGTACCCATGAATATAATCTAAAAATCCCCCTCTCTTTGTTTACAAAAAAGAGTACTGCAGTTTCTTGACGAAATATAAACAAAACTGTGCCTACTATCATTCTTTATTTAATTCGAAAAAAGGGTTCCTAGTAATGCCTCCAATCTAACTATATTAGACCAAAATATTAAAAATTTCTTTGCTTTGAGGTATCACAGTCACAGTGCCTTTAAAGGGAGTGGCCGGCAATGTGTAGCAGTTGAACTAAGATTGCAGTATTGAAGAAAATTTGTTTAGGATTCATTTGAGACCCTTCAGACGTTTTACGGAGCATATTTGTTCAGCAAGAGCTCAAATGAAATATTTAAAATTCTCATAGATTGTCCATTTTGGAGGGATGAATTTGAGAATCGATTTTATTTGAATTATTCAATGACAACCACGAAAAATATAACAAAATATTCTACAGTAAACTAAATAGTTGTTTAGAAACAATTGATTCTAACATTGATTTATTGACAAATATCTAATGAGAAATATGTTCCTTAACATCTATTTAGTTTACTTTATTACATTTTCCTCGTCGCTTTTGAATAATTTTTATTACACTGATTCTTAAAATCATCCCTCAAAAATGGATAATGAATGAGAATCTTGAATATTGAATATGCGCTCTTGCTGAACAAATATGCACCGTAAAAACGTCTGATAGGTCTCAAATGAATCCTGAAAAATTTCTCAATAATGCTGCAATCTTAGTTCAACTACCATACATTGCCGGTCAGTCCCTTTAATTTTAGTCTACATATATGTCTTATAGTATTTTCAAAAATTATTTCGGTCACAATTGGTTTGGTTTTACTTCATTATTGTAATACGAGTTTAAATTTCAAGTTTAAAACCTTCATGTCAATTTTTTTTAGTCTTTTTTCGTGTTCATATTTGCTTTTTATTTGTAAAAAATGTCATGCTAGTTGACGCGGCGTGACGAGAAACTTACAGACAGATCATATTTATAAAAAGCCATCTAGTGCTTCAAAACAGCTCTTTACTTAGTTTTTCATCTTTTTCTGATTAAAAAATTCTAAAAAAACCATTACTCTTGTAATGAGTAACTTATTATTACTTTCCACAAACGATAAGTTTTTGATCCTTGAATCTTTACCACCTGATATATTGAAAACCTTTATTATTTCAGATTAGTATTTAAAAAATTGTGTCAGGGTTTAAGGGACTGTAAGCGTAGTTTAAGGGACTGTATGCGTAGTTTAAGGGACTGTACGCGTAGTTTAAGGGACTGTATGCGTAGTTTAAGGGACTGTACGCGTAGTTTAAGGGACTGTATGCGTAGTTTAAGGGATTGTATGCGTAGTTTAAGGGACTGTATGCGTAGTTTAAGGGACTGTAAGCGTAGTTTAAGGGACTGTACGCGTAGTTTAAGGGACTGTATGCGTAGTTTAATGGGATGAACGCCTCGTATAAATGTTTTGAAAATAACCTGGGAATCCTGGTTTTAAATTTTACATATTTTGATAAAATTGGATAAAGCAGTGTGATCAGAACTCAGGAGGGGAGTTTGTTACAACCTGATGTGAGGAAAGTTCAGGAACTCGTTTAGGACAGGAGGGCCGGGCCTGGTCAATTGTAGTTTATTAAATGTTACGTTATTTGTTTACAAAAACTAGTTTTAGAGCTGCATAATATCTCAAAATTTATTATGTCAACCCATTTTTCTTCATTAATAAATATAATAATTATTACTTCATTTCTTTAGTGTGGGGGAGAGGGAGGGGGATTGCTTAAAAAATGTGTTAAATCTTATTATCTGTTTTGAAACCTAGGATATCATAGTTCTTATCTGACTTCTGGTTTCAATCAACGAATATTTCTGATCAGAAGCTTGCGTAATTTTCATTAATTTCTGGAATTTATTTTCAGGTTTACAAGACAAGCCATTCATGTTGAACTTTAGACAAAATTTTGGAAAAAAAAACTTTCGATTTGATTTTAAAACAAAGCGTCTTGCGCGCTGATATGGCGACTCTATCCCCCCTCTTTATCTGACAAATGTTGCCCCCACCCCCTCATGTAAAATGTGTAGTTGCGCCTATGATGTGAAGGGTGGTGAGTGAGTGAAGGCGTGTGCTGTATTTCTTATTTCTAATTGTATACTCTTCAGATTATCTTAAATCCAACA